GTATATTATTATGGGCTTATTTATCTAGCTAGACAGTGAATTATTTGGATTATGTGAATAAAACCCCTGTTCAACACTGAAGCTTGCAATGATAATACTATAAGACGCCATTGCCGGTGTTTTTCAACGAGTGCTGTGATCTACATCGTAGATTAGATGTTTCTGCCTCAGGCAGTCGACAATCACTTGACGCGCTCCGCAGAACTCAGGAGTTGCCATGTTTCCGTTCTCCCAACAACCAGAATCTCTCGGTCATCGCTCAAGAGCTCATTGTAGCTCTTGAATCCATTTGACATGTCAGGCCAAGCCTTATCTGTAGGCACGGTGATTGAGCTACCCGATGGACGGCAAGCAACAGTGCGCTTCATTGGCACCGCCCACTTTGCGGACGGACAGTGGATAGGCCTTGAGCTAGATGAGGCCACCGGCAAAAACGATGGCGCGGTCCAAGGCGAACGGTATTTTGATTGTGATCCAGGATACGGCATGTTTGTCCGCGCCGCAGTGATTGGTAAGATAGTCCAGCACGAGCCGGAGAGTAAACAAACCACCAAACCGGCTACCAGCGCCGCAGGTAACAAAGTGCAGCCTAAACCCGGGATCTCCGCCGGTGTTCGAAAGCAAACCGGGCTACCTCCTACAGCACCGAGGCGACAGAGTACCAATGCAGCGTCCACTCCTACTCCGGCGCTGAAGGGTGTGGCCGGTCGATCGTCTCTCCGAGTATGTCGTATGCTATGAAGTCGTCCCCTTCTACTATGCTAACTCAGAATTCTACGCTTTAAGTCACCCACGAAGTCCCCAACGAGACAGCTCGCAACGAATGCAGGTCGCCCGTTCATCGGGAGTACTTCTCGCACCTCTACCGTGGCCTCTAATCGACCCCGACTGGCTCCCAGCAACAGAAATTCACTGGGTCCTTCTCCAACACAACCAGCGGCCTCCAAAGGGTCGCGACTGTCGGTTTCTGGACCCATTGCCCGAAGCTTAAGACCTGGCTCCCAAAGCACCATTGTTTTATCTACAGCGGGGTTGATAAAGCGTCCTTCACTACGGCAAGTTGGCAATACAAAAACATCCGATGGAGGAGATGTGGTTATGAGCGGGCGATCTGGAGATCAGACTGATACCGAGTCGCCTGACACTGAAGGAGAGGGTGCGCAAGATGGAGCCACTGCGCAGAAGACCTCTCGACTGTCAATGACTGCTACACGGCCAGCAGCCTCGCGTCATGGGGCCCCGCTCTCTGCATCTCAACGTCAAGGGCAGAGTGCTGCACTCAATCGCGAGCTTGAAGAACTCAATGCCAAGCTCAAAGTCATGGAAAAGAAACGAGCCGATGACAGGGAGAAGTTGAAGACTCTCGAGCAACTCCAGGCCGAGCGTGACAAATTTGAAACGATCATTCAGAAGCTACAAGCCAAATATCAACCGCAGCAAGTTGAAGTCACCGAGCTCCGCAAAAAGCTAAAAGAACTCGAGACTCGTTCTGACGACGTGGAACGCATGCAGGCAGAGCATGAATCGCTCATGGAAATGGCTACCCTTGACCGTGAAATGGCAGAGGAGACAGCGGAGGCATTCAAACACGAGTGTGCAGCGCTACAATCTAGGTTGGATGAGCTGAAATTAGAGGTGGAAGTTCTCCGAGAGGAGAATGAAGAATACAGCCAGGAGATTACTCCTGAAGATAGAACCACTCATGGGTGGCTTCAGATGGAGAAGACCAATGAACGCCTCCGCGAGGCGCTCATTCGTTTGAGAGATATGACTCAACAGCAGGAATCTGATCTCAAGTCCCAGATCAAAGAATTGGAGGATGATCTTGAGGAGTACGCTGCTGTCAAGGCTGATTACGAGGCTGCGAAGGAGCGACTCTTGGTTGCTGAGACCAATGTCGATGATCTCAAACAGCAGCTGGAGACAGCACTGGGGGCCGAAGAAATGATTGAAGAGTTAGCAGACAAAAATATGCGCTACCAGGACGAGATAAATGAGCTGAAAGCTGCCATCGAAGATTTGGAATCCCTCAAGGAGATTAGTGACGAGATGGAGTACGCTCATGTCGAGAATGAGAAGCAACTTCAAGAAGAAATTGAATACCGAGAGGGTGTGTTTAGCGACCTATGCCGAAAGATCACACAACAGGACGAAGTTATCGAAGACCTTGAATACACGTTAACCCGTTTCAGGGATTTGGTGACGAGCCTGCAGTGTGATTTGGATGATATGCGCACAACCAAGCAAGTTTCAGAGGCAGAGACCACCGAAAATGCAATGCGCCACCGCCAGATGCAGGATTTGAACATGAAACTACAGGCCAACCAATCAAAGGCCCTGGCTAAATCTATCGATGTCGAACTGAACCGTATGGAGTTTGAGGAAAATGCACAGCATCTTTCAATGATCAAACTCTATCTTCCGGAGTACTTCGAAGAGGAAAAGAACTCTATTCAGGCTTTACTTCGATTCAAGCGTGTCGCATTTAAAGCCAATGTTATGAGCAGCACTCTCCAAGAAAAGGGATCTGAGCACTCAGTGGTCTCCAACGAAGAACTTTTCCAAGCTCATGTGGTTTTGGAGAATCTTATGTGGATATCAAATGTGTGTGACCGGTTTGTGAACTACATCACTGCTTGCTCGCCAGAGCAATTTGGCAGCATCAAGGTCGCAATGTTCGAAATGGAGCCAGTGGAGCGCATGCTGAACTTCTGGATCGAGCCTATGAAAAAGGACGAGATTAATCTTGCAAAGTTTGCAGTGGAATTGCAGCGGTCTATCGCTCTCCTCGCACATCTTTCCGAGTCTCTTCTTCCTTCCAGCTTGGAGATGTTTGCCGATGAGCTGTGTATGCGGGCCCATTTATCTCAATCGTACATTGAGCATTCCGCCGGTGCAATCTCACGCGTTAAGATGATTATCAGCACCAAGATGGTTGCAGCAACAGAAGGGGATGAGGAAAATCTGATTGCCCTGAACAAACTGGACACTTTCGCTTCTCAAGCTCGCGGATACAAAGTTGCGATGGGTAAGATCAGCCGGTCTCTTGATGATCTGCGTTCGAGGTCACTTGCACTTCCAAAGGACGTCGATGAACCCTTCAAGAAGATTGAAAATGAAACTAGGCAACTTTCAGAGTTTGCTCGAAAGCTCGGCGAGAATCTTGTTGTCCTCACGAGCGATGAAGGTCGCACGGAACCATTCAGCCCGGAAGAGATTCTGGATTGCATGTCTCAGGCCGCCGTGTCTTTTGCCTCGTCGTCCGAAACCCTGGAACTAAGTAACGACCCTGTATCGTTGCTCTTTATCAGATTGCGGGAAGTAGGCGATCAATTTGAGGAGCTTGATTCCATCTCATCAGATCTGTCTCGCACAACGGAGTTTGAGAGGGCCGCATTTCCCTGGGTTGCCCGTGCTGCGGAATTGAAGTCCAACAAAATGACATCTCCTGATGTAGACGAGGAAATCCGCCAACTGAGAAATGAGATTCACGAGGCATCAGCCGCACTTGGAGTCAAGGATAACATCCTCGAAGAGCAGGGCCTAAAGATTGAGCATCTTGAATCTAGGATGCGAGAGGCAAGCAAGAAGGCTGCCATGGTCAAAGATCTCGAAGCCAAGATCGAGGAAGCTCAGAGAGCAGGTTGTGAGCTCGAAAAAACAGTCGAGCAACAAAAGAAGGAGCTTCAGACAGCCGAATCAGAGCGAGACGAGTTCATGGCTCGTCTCGAGCGAATGAAGCGCATGTCTGGAACAGCAGGTCTGGCGACCACAGGTAACAGCGCCGTCATCGTGAGTGAGGCTTCTTTAGCTGCTATGGACGAGAACGAGTCTCTCCGCGCCGAGGTGGAAAGTCTCCAAGCAGCTGTGCGTTTCCTGCGCGAGGAAAACCGTCGCTCGAACATCCTCGACCCATACTCTGTCCAGCGATCTACTGACATGCACGCCTGGCTTGATGCGCCGCTTTCACGTGCCAAACCAACCCCCGAACAAGAAAAGATCCAACGCACTGCTCTCGAAAGTCGGGACGTCATGACTCATCTCCTCAAACTGACCAAAGAATCCCGTGTCCCCGATCTCAAGTCCACGATGGCTGCCCCAGCTAGTGACGACAATGACAACGCTGGCCGCACTGTCTGGCGCCCATCCAAGACCCGTCTTCGTTATCAGGTACTCCAGCAGCGCGAAAATTTTGAGCACTGGGCAGAATGGCGCGATGAGATTGTCGATCACGAACGTGAACAGGACCGCTTGACCGCTGCCAAGCAGGAACGCGCAATACTTGATCGTGTTTTCAGACATCCTCACAAGACTTCTGTCGAATTCCCCCAGGGCTTAGGCCATGGCATGATGGGTCGTACGTGGCAGATTCTGGGCATGCAAAAACACCGCAAAACCGACTCTATAAGTGCACCTGCTCCGGACGTTGTGGAGATAGTTACCACGGACTGAAGCTTTGTTTTCGTTGTGTCTTGTGGTTTTACACGACTCTCATTCTTTCTTTTTAACTTGTACCTTTTTTTGTCTTTCTGGCAGCTTCGTTGTCCGTTTTGAGATACCCTACAAGGATAGTTGGCGTCAGACATTGTGTACAATGAACTTATATTCCAGATGGCTTGGATATCATGATCAGAGGCCATGCGTGTCAGCCTGGATCTTGAACTCTGCGTTCTGCTGCGTAAATGTTCTACTCACTAGAATGTTTCTTGGAACACTCTTTTTGTGCCTATTTAGGTCTCACGTAGGCATAGCGAGAAAATTCATAATCACTTCCGTAAGCCATGTACCACGTTAATCCCCCCCCCCCCCAAACAACATTGGAACCATGTAGCCAACCATAATCGAAACGGGGGTATTCCAACGCGCAATCGAAATTAAATCAAGTCCAAAGAATACAAAGAACACAAAGTTTTAATCGAAAGAGGGAAAGAAAGAGGATGCGTGACTCATTATCAAAACCCCAGAACCACCAAAAGAGTCTTCAGGGAAATCCAAAGAACTCAAAACGCCAACCCAATACCAGACTCATGGTACCGCGTATATTCATTTTCAATACACGAAAAGAGTGGATGGTGCTGCTGGTGGTCCTCAAAGATGGTCGGGTAGCAGGCACCAGAGTCGACACCCTTTTGTGCAGCAGACGAGGGGACCTGGAATGAGGCGCGGGGAGTGATGGCACTAGAGAAGGCACTCGAGATGGAACTATTGTTTCGTGCTCTTGTACCACCGGTGATGGTCGTGGTAGTTGACGCGATTGTGGTGCCACTCAACGTGTGAGCTCGCTCCCACTCAAATCCGTTTATGCCGTGCAGAAAGGCTTGCTTCGGGGGCGTAGAGGGCTTGGTAGGGGTAGGAAACATCCATTGGGTTACACGGTTGGAAAGAGGGAAGGGAATTGAATCAAGTGTGTCTCGGTTCTCAGGGAGTGTAATGGAGGGACGGCGTGGGAATGAGAACTGTGACGGCATCGTACGCAGGCTGGCTGATGAAGGACTGTCTCTGGATGGGGACATATCCGGTGTTTCTGTGTACAGGCTCATGGATGCAGGTGGAGTCCAAGGTATTCTCCCACGGGATGGGATGGCCTTTGCGTCACTTGGCCGTGGGGTGGTCGATGTAAGCGTGGTCCCTTCCGATGTTGACCTGCTGTGTACTAAAGATGCTGCCTGAGCTTCTGGAAGAGGTGTCGCGGTGGGAGTGACTTTGGAGAAATGCGGAACCAGTGTGCTAGTGGTATGAACAGGCTCTTTGACGAGAAGAGACTCTACGTTTCCAAGTGATCTGCGTTTCAGGGACCCAACTGGCTTGCGAGAGACTGCTGATACCTTTTGGCTGTGTCGACCTTGAACGCCGGTTGAAATCGTAAGGGCACGAGCGGGCACCGCCGGCGTCTTGCCCTTGCGGCTCTCGCTTAATTGAAAGGCTTCGAATGAAGGCAGGTCCGACAATCGATTGCCCGATCGATGAATGCGGAGGTCCAATGGTTGATAGGTTGGTGCTGGAGGAGAATGGAAAGACTGTGGCCGGTGACCGTGGAAAGATTGCACTCTGCGAAAGTCCGAGGGTGCACCAATCCTCAACGGGGTGGTTGAAGATCGTTTCAAAGACATGCTTGCCCGGATAGACGTTCGCGAGGTCAAGTTCCGGCTGTCGTTGAACCACGATGACAGTGAGTTCCGATGTTGATGGGTAGTTGGACTGGGGAGGTCATCGTATACCATCACCTTCATGGGTGGAATAAGGTGTGGTTGAGTGTGGCATACTTGCATCTCCCGTTCAATGCCTGCGATGTATATTAGTTGGTCATCTCCAGAGTTTTCATGTAGTCGGACACATACCTTTCCCGGCTTGTCTGGGTTGACAACCATGCTCAACCGGTAGACATGTCAAGCATGAGCGTATCCAACCAGTGAATAACGACCCCGCCTTCTCCAAAGCCAGCATGATGGCGACCAGCGCGTCAAGAAATCAATCCATTCCCTTCAAGGAAAGGAAAAGAGAGAAACAAAGGAAAGGAACAAACCAGTTGCACAGTCAAATCAGCCCCTCAGACGAGATGGGAACATCCATCCTATATGCCCAAACATGAGCGCTTTACCCAACTCGGCCAGAAACATACCATCGTGGCACTAATAACCGGGGGCTACGCCCAGTAATGAAACACATCCTGGCGCCAGCGCACTTGGCACTATTGATCGTCGGGTAACGGAGCTGGCTGAAGCACTACCATTCGTTGACACCCGGTGGAGTTATCACATCTGTGCTTATTCCTTTTGAGCTATACCCTGTCACAAGCCTATCAACGACCTTTCTGGTGTGATGAGAAGTTGGGCGCTTACGGAGATAGATAGGATGATTCTATTTCCTTGGAATGTCCTGGAGTTTCATCACGTTTCGCATTTTTCTCCTGCGTTTTTGAGGGTATAATAGAACGCAGATGCAAAAAAATCGGACCGAGAATGAGTGAATGAATAAATAAGGTAGGTGATCATAATCCAGGATGCATCAAAAGGCAAAATACACCTCAGAACGCGCTATTTACCCCATACATTGTCCTGCTCTAAGCCCTCGTAGGTCCATTTGGGCCGATCTTCGTGATGATCAGACTCTGGCTGTGTCGAGTTGGCTTCCGCCTCTTCCTCGATTGGCTCTCCGGAGGGTCTTCTGGAAATTGGAACCAGGTTAGAAATTCTGCTCCAAGATCTCTAGGACTATTGTCAGCCACTGATTTGGAAACTTACGAGAATCGTCGAGGTTCAGGCTCTACTTGAGCAGAGCCATACTCTCTCTGCATTTGAGCTCGATCTTCTTCCTCCGCCTCTGTATTCTCCACAACAAGGTCAACCAGCTGGCTGCGCTGCGTGCCGCTAGAACTAGTGGAGCTGACGTTGCGCCGCAAGGGACCGGGAGTCGCCGAGCCTGGGACAAGTTTATCGGAGTTTTTCTTGTGGCCCGTCCTACTCTCACCATCTGATGCGCGAGTTTTCCGATGCCCACGGGCCTTTTTGACATATGCGCCTCGGTTCGAATCTTGATTTCTCCGCGACGGTGGCAGCCGTTGGTCCCTTGGTACCTCGTTGGCGGTAATAACCGGGTACTATGCGCAATCAACATCGAAATCACAACGAACACCCTGCATAAGCATGACTTACATTCCAGTCTCCGAATTCCAGTGAACGAGCGGCGATGAATAGTTGCTCATCCTCGTTGTCAATTACGGTTTCATCGATATCACTGAAAGATCGGAATCTCTCTCTGGAGCTTTGACTGGCCCGTTCAGTTCTGGGGCCGCGCTCATTGCGTTCGCCGCGCAGTAGAGGCGTGCGAACATTGGCTTCGCCCGGTTTAGGAATCCAATACTTTGCCTTACCTCCACGCTCATACCTCATGCCGGCCATTACTCGCTTGACCCGTGACCCCGACTCCTCATGCGGGATAATATTATCACCTGAATCAAAGACCCGGTATCCGTAATTCTTACCGCGGATGGTGAACTTGGTGTCTTCAACCAAGTCCCGCGCACCAAAAGCGTCGCGCAGCGCATATTTTACGGGCATGCGTGCAGCTGAGATGGTCGGATCCGCATAGTCGTGCCATGAAAATGCATACCAGTGAGCCATAGCGAATATTGGCATCTCAAAACAAAGGAGACTGTCCTGAATGGCTGCTGCGAGGTTGTCGGGGGTATACCCAGCAACATTACCAAGCGCTCGCAGCCACTGCAGGATAGACAAGAAGAAGCCTTGCCAATATGAGGCAAAAATAATAAGTTTGACGCAGAGAAATTTGGGGATTGGGCGGAATGGCATGAGATCGTCATGCAGACACACCCAGAACATGGCAAGAGAGTAGAGACTTATCGTCACGCTGACATTATATATGATACCTGTCCAGAGATACCCAGAGCCGAGCCCAATAAAGCCCTCTTCATACGTGTCGTTTGCCTTCATTATGATGGAGGCGAGGGCCAGAATGGGCTTCAACCAAGTATACTGCAGGATGCCACGTTTGACAGCGAGAAAGGTGTGGGGGTCCGAGATGTCAACCTTGGGGAGGAAGTGATTCATAGGCCAGGCATGAGAGATGGGAGGACGGCCGTGGGCCATGATAATGACGGCCCGCTCGCCGCCGAGGAAGTTGATGAGGAGCTGGAAGAAGGTGTAGATGGTGAATGCCTACCAAAGCTATCCGTTAATATAGGCCTATTGATAGTCGACTAGGACCTCACATACCTCGTAGATGTCGCGAACAGGATCAAGAAACTGAGCCGCTTTTAGCGAGATGATGCTCGTCCATGATGATACTGCATAAATCGGGACCCTAAGCTCAATCAGCACTGCTCTTTGTCCGCGCCCCGTAGACTGATACTCAACCCAATACTGACATCAATAGTATGCGGACCACGTAGCGTTGGAGTAAGGGTTTTCGGTAGTTTTTACTATGTATATGATGAGCTGTGATTCTCGAATTGGGACTGTTTAAGCTCGTACGCTTGAAACCATATGGATCTGCGGTTCGAGACAATATGTTAGCCCGGAAGTCTACAACGATCGCCCTCATGACTTAGGATACACATAAGATGTTAGACTCACACGAAGGACAAGAGCGAGGAAACCAAAGCCGAGACACCTGTGACAATGACAACGGCACGTGCCAGGCTGGAGCCTGTTCCTCCGCCACCTGCGGTCGTCATGATTGCTGAAACTTAGAGACAAGCACGGGTTGGGGACCGATATCTGCCTGCAGAGATAGTCCAGCTCATTCCGCGGAGTCGAAAGAGGGGTAAAACATGTTGGCTAAGACCAAAATGGGGCGCAAATCGAGCTAGAGAAATGTTGGCTCGGAAAGGAGGTGTGTGTGCTGGCCGATGACGATCTTCTCGTGACACCGCTCTCGGGCTTCCTAAACAACGTCCTCACCTTGCGACTTCCAGGATACTTGACCCAGCTAGTTTGGTGTCGATGAATGTGAGGTCAATTTTGACTCGTCAATCGCGTTCTATCGCGCCGACGCTGTCCATGTTGGCGGGTGGAGAGAGATGGGTAGTACAAGCTTGACTTCGGCCTTCCTAACGCCGGATCCAAGCTTCAATTGGTATGGAATAGTAGCTTGGACCATGACTGTTATACTGATTGATTTAGGTTCTTCCTCTTGGAGTTGATTGTCTCCTGCATTCTGTAAGTCTACGCTGTCCAACACGGCTGGATCAAGCTAATCACCGGCACAGCGCTCTGTTCTTTTTGCTCTACTTCAATCGACTCTTCGCGAACCTCATCTCTTACGCCATTCGAGCATACACATGGCACTACTACCGCGCATATGTTGATATCAACGCACTTCAAGTCTCCCTACTTGGTGGGAGAGTCTTCTTCAAGGGTATTCGGTACCACGGCGTGAACGAGACGATTTTTATTCATGGAGGATTCATAACATGGCGCTATTGGACGCGTACAGTCGAGCGAAACGACTTGAATGGAATCCGACGCAAGGCAGGCCTTTCTCATCCTACCTCAACGGAAGGACATGCGCGATCCCCGATTGATGGAAGAGACAACAATCTGGGGGAGCAAGGTGGCATGGCGAAGACGACTGAATTGCCGTGCCGGATTACTATCAATACTTATGGCCTTGAATGGTTCATCTACAACCGGACTCCCGCCTATGACAGTATCCTTGCTGGCTTTGGATACTCCACCAAAAATGTAGATCCAGACGAGGAGAATTCAAAACCCCCAGGGTCTCGCAGGACGGCAGAAGATGACAACGCAAGCAATGTTTTTGATTTTGAAGATACGTCTGGCCATCGGCCAAGCATGAAACCCATGTCAGAGCGCAGCATGAATGAGGGAGGTGGGGATGCGTCGCAGAGCACTACAATTCGTGAATCAGAACTATCAGACCCTGTGTCCAACATGTTACAACTCCTGCCTATGAAGCTGGATTGCCGGAAAGGCGCCATTGTCATGGGAAATGAGCATACCCGATCCGTGTTGACAACAACATTCGACACTGGAACGGGGACCATCGATGCTTCCAATTCAGGCCCTCTTGATTTGTATCGTCAAGTTTTTTCATTTCAACTTAATAATCCAGTGATTCAGATGCGACCAAACCCAGACTTCAAGCAGAACCAGTCGGTGACCGCCAAAGACCTAGGTGCGGTGCAAGAGAACGAGTCTGGATCGAAAAAAAAACCGCAAAATATCTTCGATTACCAATTCCAGAGGCGCAGAGTATGGCACAGCATTCAAGACTTGGTCCCATACTTCCAGACATCTGTTGAATCGTTCCACATCGATGGCAGACACACCAGTAGTATGCCGAGAAGTCAGGCAGAGTTTCCTGAAGTCCGCTGGGCCGGCCTCTCTCGCTATCTGGACGAGGGTATCGAGGATGAGCATGAAAAATGGAACGCTGTTGAATACGGCAGGTTTTCTACTATCGTTGAGAGTCCCAGCTTGAATATAGCCTACTTCTGGGACATCCCTGGACGAGTTATTATTCAACCAACGGCGACTGTTCAGTCTCAAACAACGAATAGCAACATCAACCATGCTCCTTCTCCGGAATGGGGAATTGACATTAAAATTGATGGGGGTACGATAAATTACGGACCATGGGCCGATAGGGAGCGGGTTGGCCTGCAAAACATTTTTTTTCCAAACTTCTATCGCAGTGCTGAGCCGACAGAACAACTAGCCCCTGGTGTTCTGCGACAAAGCACGGCATTTAGGTTGCGTGTGGAGATCAACAAGCAATTGACATTGCGCATTCCAACACGAGAGGCTTCCAAGGATTGGCAATGGAAGGGTCGTGCTGATGCTGTTGGGGGTGCATCGAGAGCCAAAAAGCCAAATGACCAGAAGAATGCTCGAGTCAAAGAAGGTGAAAAAGGCTTTCTTGGCCCTGAAATTCGCCCTTTTGGGTGGCTTTCCCTCTGTGTTGCCGCCGACTCTACCATCAACTACACCATGGATATGGTGGGATCGAGCGCAGGGTTTCGCAATGAGCTCTCTATCGACCTGCGAGATTCAAGATTATCATCCAGCATCAATCATGGCTTGCTCTGGCAATGTCCTCGGCATCGGATCACTTGCGATCTGTCCAATCCACTCTCCTGGAATAGTCTTCGCTCCTGGAAATTTGCTGCCGAAAGTCAGGACCTACAGCTATTTCTCCTTCGTGATCACATATTCCTTCTCTCAGATCTTGTAAGTGACTGGGCTTCTGGGCCGCCCTCAAACTACTACACATTTGTGCCTTTTATTTACAACATCGATCTCAATTTCTCCGACCTCCAACTTTACATGAATGTCAACGACCGAAACATCATCAGCAATCCTTCGGATCTGGAGGACAACCGATTCATTGTCATCAAAGGCAAGCGTTTGACTTCGAATGTTATGTTACCATTGAACAAATACCAATCTGAACAAAATGCCATCGAGTTCAGGGTCAACCTTGAAGAAGGCGGCGTGGACTACACAACCCCTCTATGGGATACCCTGCATGAATTTTTGCCTCAAAAATCCATGGCCACTCTCGGGAATTTGTTCATAGATGGCTCCTATAACTATTACCAGTCATTATCCCCGGAACTGACTGACACACTGATGCTCAACATCGTGGGAACTTCAACTCGCCTATACCTTTTTGGATTTCTGATCAAGAGTTTCATGACAATCAGAGAAAACTATTTTGGTGAGGAATTGCACTTTAAGACACTTGAAGAATACCAAGAGCTGGTCTATGTCGACGAGCCACTGTCAAATCCCACCGGCATCAACCAAAAACGAAAGTCAAATGATATGGATGTGCTTGTGCGTGTTACGTTTGAAGGCCCCCGTGCTTTGCTTCCTGTGAATATCTATGATCACTCAAAGTGCATGGGACTTAGCGCAGCCTCACTCGAAGCGGACTTGCGCTTCACCAACTACTATATGGATTTACAATTTTCCATAACCCCGCTGAAAATTGATTTGGAGACCACCCAGCCGGATGACCCTTCCACTATCTCTAGCCCTCAGCTGTTCATCGATGGAATCTCGATCTACGGCCATCGTCTGTTTGGGTTGCCTCCGCTTGAACCAACCTACGTTTGTAATTGGGATTTTGAGGTCGGTAGAATTGTCGGAGAATGCTCCACCGAGTTCTTGGCCTGCTTAGCTTCATCTTTGAAGTCTTTTGATTTCTCATTTGACAACGAGGAAAATGCGTTGCCAATGCTGTTCGCGGAGCCTCTATTTGACGTGACTTTCTTGAGAGCCAAGATTGACTCAATTCATGTTTCCGTGCTACTAGATCATACAGCTTTGATTTTGAGCACACGGCCCTTGAGCGTGAACTTTAACGATTGGGCAAACACCAAGTTTTCGAAACGCATGAGCCTTCTCGTTCCAGATATCTCGATCGCTGCTGTTGATCGCCAATCTGTCTCTCAACACAATCCATCAGCAGGAGAAACGATCTCCCCCATAGGTCTTTTCCAACTCACACTTGCACTGAAGATGGCTTTGCGTAAATCTGACATTGCCGAAAGTCGACGACTTCAGCAAGAGCATGTTAAAATTCATGATCAGCGGACTCACAGGGCACAGTGGTTGCTTTTAGACTGGGAGGAGACTGGCCCGGCTTCAACGCTTGCTCCTGAAGACGACTTATTCCCCCCAACCATGGCCATACCTTCAATGCCTGAGCCTGTTGATGGGAGGAGTAACTATGTTCATGCAATACCTTGTCATGGTGCTTCACGACCCCATCCCACTGGAAGCTCCAGGAGCTTTCTTGTCCAGTCAGAAGAATCAAGTATGAAAAGTGTCCGGATACACACTGCCAACAGCCCCAGAGCAGCCTCGGATCATGTGTCTAAATTACGGCAGTTTATGCCTACCCGAGGATCGAGCGCGTGTGTCTCAAGAACCGACCGTTCAAGAGATGGACTAAACTCCGGGCCTCGTATAGGGGTATCCTCGTCTTCCGCGACTAGAGACGCAAACCCGTGGATAATGCCACATTTTTCGTACTACAAGCTTCATGTGGATACATCTGATCTTCCGTCATCATTTACAGATGAAGACGATACAAGGGGTGAGGACTCTGCAATGAATTACAAGTCCGTGTTTCTCACATTTGATGACGATCAAACGAAATACACAAATCTTGCGTGTGACGTCCCGCTTGGTATTCGAGGGTTTTGTACCCCCAAATTCCTTCAAAGTCTAGCTACCTTACTAGATGGACTGGAACCAAAGAATCCTACGCGAATTATTGACTCGCTTCAAAAGGATGTGGTGTCGAACATCGTTGGCTACGACAAAGCCATGAGCCAACCGAAAATTTCAATAGCTGTCGCTCTTCGTGTTCCCTCCATACAATTGCGACTGGTTGATCTCTCTGAGGCTCCCAACAACAAACAGATCGAGTTTCGAGACGAATACAGTATCGAGATCCGTCGTCTGCATACTGAGTTCCGAAGAAAGGTTGAACGTCAGAAAGGTGATTTGCTTGAAGGTCTCAAACAAGGTGTGACGGTTCATGCGGCGGCGGAGCACGTCTCAATTCACATCGAGGGTAGTCGAGCAGATTCTTTCCACGAAAAAGCCGTGTTCAACTCTCACATGGAAGAAATGAATTTCTGGCTCGTGACCTCGCCCAATGTTCGTTCTAATCTTCAGATGCGAACATTTAATACAATGACATCAGCAAAGTCTGTGGAGCGTCTTGCATTTCTCGTTCGTCGAGCGACAACTATGTTTGATGCTGTCGCGTCATCCTTTCAACAGCTTTCAACGTCCAGCGAGAAGCGCCTACAGTACCTCCTATACTCACTCACCCAATCAGCTACTGATATACCGGATCCAATCTTCCTTGCGCGCATATCTTACGTCCTCAGGGTTTCTACGAATCATCTGCGGCAGCATGACTCATGGAAAATCCTATCTCGCATTCGCAAAATTTACGAAGGCCTGCCTGCTCATCACAAGCGTGAGTTAGAGCAGAAATGCTTGTGTGAAAACTTTCCTCTGCCGGCGAATGCCAAAGAGGCAGTATTATCCGGATTTGACCACTGGCGAGCTTGGGACCTGGCACATGTTGTCAAAAGCTATGTCATGCGCCGTGTTTGGCCGCATGCTGCTGAACGGCAGACTTCTCAGCCTTCAATGTTCCTATCCTCCACTATCCAAACATTCCGATTTTCCATGGATCCTGGTCCGAGGGAGAGTGATTTGATCATAGGGAATTTATCCACTGTTGCGTCATTTTCTCCAGACTCGCTTGAAGTTGCAGAGGGGCTGAGCAAGAGGCTCATCACCCTGCAGTCTTATTGTGGATCATCAGCCCTGAGATTGCGCTGGGAAATTCTGGACCTTGTTGAAGGGGTGATCAAGGTAATGTCGAATATCACACTTGAATCCTCGCCGGGCCATGTCTCAAGTGACAAGGCTCAAGAGAAGACACCGACCGAGCTGCAATTTATGTTTGGTACTGATTTCGGTTCCATCACTCTCGACGGTATCAATGTCAAGCTTGCTTTGATAGCGAAAGCTCTCCGGGGATCGATCGTTCACAGGTCGCTTGGTGCTAAAAAGTCAGAAGACGAAGTCTTCACGGCATTATTTTGTGCTGAAGGATGTTCATCTGAGCTCCAAAGTCAATCTGCGACTCTGATGTTGTCAAGAATCGCTGATCCATATATGTACCTTTCACTTGCATCAGATGAAGATGGCGACGAGTGCAGACACCGTTGGAAGCTCGCTGCTTCCTGCAGGAAGCTTCGTTATGACATGAAAGAAGATCCTGTCAGCTTAGCACACACAGCAGATAGACTCATCGCGGATGAAGTCAGATACATCCGACAACTTGTGGATGTTGTTAAAGTGCCAAAGCTGGAATCAGATCAGTGCTTCTCGCCGAACAAACCCACCCGTTACACCTTCCATGTGGCAATGTTCTTAGAAGACTATCGGTTGACGTTTAGCCTTTTGCCATCTTTGAACTACCTTGTGTCAGGGGAGGTCGCTCGCATGTCAGTGATGCCCGTAGAGGCATTCAAGATAGAGGTTGACTTTGACGTTAAGAAGAACTCGCACATGTTCGTATCTGGCGAAGGCGACAAATTCAATATTTTGTCAACGCTGGAAATACCTCCCGTAAACGGGCGAATCCTTGCAAACCTCTTGCCAGGGCGCAAGGAAGTGGAGGTTGATGTTACGATTGAACTCATTCGCCTCGAAACCAGTGCTGTGCGCAGTCTCCTGGCAGTTTTGAAAGGACCTGATGTTTCCCATTTGATTTGTGATATCAAGCAAAATTTAGATGTCCTTCAGTCACACTTGAAAGACGTGCAGTCGATACAGAGATTATCCCCATCTCCCAAATCAACATCTGGTGGACAAGAGATCCTCTACAAATGCCGTTTCACAATGGCTGGATGCGAGATTCATGCCATTGCACCTGGCCTTAATAGCAAAGATTACTCTGCGGAGATGATCTTTAGCCTCGGGATGATGCGTATGCGACTTCAAAATGGACTCGATCGGGGATACGCCATGCAGCATCCCGAATTCAGTATCGATGCCCCTCAAATTATATTTGAGCTCCGAAGACAAGAGAAAGTCAACAGTCAATCATATGGCGGTTTCTCTGCTGGAGTGAAGCTTCAAGGAACCTCTGTGGTCCGTGAAAATGGTGAGATCACCAGAGCCTACCATTTCACCAGCAACAGGTTCGATATCGAACTGTTCGCCGAGACAGCAGCCCTGGTGGTTGACATTGCCGTCTATACACAAGAGCGTATCAAGACTCTAGACCTTTCCCATGAAGTCAAACGTCTTAGAAAATTGAGACATGGTGGCCACATCGACACAAAAGACGGAGCCACCGATGTCCCCGAAATCCACGTCAATGACAATTCCACCCCGGAAACATTTCTCAACGCTCTTTACTCCTTACAATTCCGGACTATTCAAATTGCTTGGAACATGGCCACGATGCACAACAAATCTGGTCGACAGCCCGAGGACTTGGTCTTTTTAATCCAGCAAGTTGAACTATCCAACAAGAAAAAGAACGCAGCAAAACTCCGAATCGAAAACATGCAGCTTCAGATGGTACCACTCGGGGCGGACAGAGGAAAGCGCTCGCTCAATTCAGCTCTTATGCCAGAGCTGGTCTTCAACGTGGCGTATTCCTCCAAAGGGAAGGAAGTATGGCTTGCTCTACAAGCAGCTGGCAAATCTCTCGACATACGCGCCACATCGGAATTTATCATTCCGGCTAGTATGATACAAGACTCAATTGCTACTGCAAGCGAGGCTCTTCGTGGCGGCAAGGCTGTTTGGGCAACCAGAGCACACTCTCCCGAAAATACCAATCCCAACAAAAATGGCAGCCTTTTCGGCAACAGACGACTGCGCTCTCTCCTCGTCGATGTTGACTTTGCGGGCGCTACAGTCACGCTTCAAGGAAAAATTTGCCAGGACCACCAGACATTGTTAGCGGCCACATGGAAGGGTAGCCGGCTATCAGACGCAAAATATGGTCAATATGTCCAAGGTGATGCAGCGACTACAGCAACTCTCCGGGCACCGGGAGTGGCACTCAAAGTCCAATTCGAGGACAACGGTACCGATGATCCCGCATTGAATGCGGAGTTGAAGGTCGACCCTTCGACGAATACATTGTACCCAACCCTTGTTCCCCTTGTTAAGCAAATGACCGCCACGGTCAAGGAGATCATGGGCAACCAGCAGAGCCAGTCACGAAGGTTATCTGCAGCAGCGAAGTTGCAGTCCCAGAAACCAATGCAGGAGAAGCCTTTTAATGCTGCCGACCCAACCAGCATTCTTGGTCGATGCAAGGTAAATCTGGGACTGCTGTTTTGGAAACAGGAGTTTAGCTTAAGCTGCCAGCCAATTGCAAGAGTCGCGGCTACTGCAAAATTTGAGAGTGTCTACGTGACTGTCAACACGGTCCTATCGTCAGAGCAGGGCCGGTTCCTTGCCCTCTCTTTGGCTTTCAACAGCCTAGAAGCATCTGTAAAGCATGTATACTCGAATGAATCAACTGCAAGCTTCGAGGTCAAGTCCATGGTGCTGTCCTTGATGAACAGCAAGCACCTTGGCCGAATGAACGGAATGTCGGCTATTTTGCGCGTCAGTCCAATGAAGGTCGCAGTTAATGCCAAGCAAGTTCAAGACTTTTTGCTATTTAAGGAGATCTGGCTTCCATCTGACAATGAAACCAACTCGGGTGAGACTGTCCAGCCAGAGCCGTCCGAAACGCAAACCTACATCGTGCAGCGATACCAACAGGTTGCGTCGGCGTCCGCTTTCCCGTCGAACACCACGATCGCGATTGAGGAGGTTGAAATTCAACTTGATTTGGGATCGACCCTAGGCAAAGCACAATTTGCCATCATTGATCTGTGGGTGTCTACCAGCAAGACTTCCGACAATGAACAGAAGATGTGTATCAGTTTCGGCTCGGTTGCGATCGAGGGTAAGGGTCGTATGAGTGGAATTGTCGAACTTGGAAAGCTGAAAATCCATACCTCCATCGAATGGCCTGAGATTTCCGATGAGACAGGACACACACCGTTGATTCAAGCCACGATTGCCTTCCATCACCTTCAAGCCAAGGTGTCATTCGACTACCAGCCGTTCTTGGTTGCACAGATCTCCATGCTAAACTTCTTGATGTACAATGTTCGAAACACATCCGGCGCTCAGAGCCAGCGACTTTTCAGCATCCTAGAAGGCGAAAAACTCCAGCTATTCTGTACATCTCTAACAGCATCACAAACATTGGCGCTATTCCAGGCGTGGCAGCGCTTGATCCAAGACGTCCAAATAGCCTACAAAGCATCATTGCGTGAGGTAGAAAGATACCTCCGTCGGAAATCTTCTGTCCTCGCCGAGCCCCTCGATGTCAGCGCCAAGGATCTCGCAAAGGAGGACGACCACCGGCCCGAAAAAGCACCCATCTCTCTACACACCGGAGTCGTCGTGAAGATCCGCCACGTCAACCTGGGAGCATTCCCCAGCTCATTCTTCGACAACCAAATCTTCAAGGTAGAAGCCCACGACGCCGAAGCCTGCTTCGGCGTTTCTCTCGAATCCAACAAAATCCACAGCGCCCTAGGCCTAACACTGGGCCAGCTTCGCGTAGCACTATCAGGCATAACACGACCCACATCCGCGCAACTTGACGAGCTCTCCGTTGACGAGATCTCTGAGCTAGCCGCCGCATCCCGCGGCGGAACAATTCTCAAAGTGCCACGACTAGTCGCGAGCATGGAAACCTGGCAGGCTCCAGGAACCCACCAGATCGACTACATTTTCCGCAGCACGTTCGAGGGCAAAGTTGATGTCGGATGGAACTACTCGCGCATCAGCTTCATCCGTGATATGTGGGAGGCGCACTCGCGGGCGCTCGCGTCGAGACTTGGTAAGCCTTTGCCGCCGTCTGCGGTGCGCATTACTGGTGGACCGGGTAGTGGTGGTGAAGGGAGTGGTGCGAGCTCTGAGAAGCAGGAGAAGATTACTGCGGTTGTCAATATGCCCAAGTCTAGGTATACCTATACTGCGCTAGAGCCGCCGATTATTGAGACGCCACAACTGCGGGATATGGGAGAGGCTACGCCACCGTTGGAGTGGATTGGGTTGCAGCGTGATAAGCTGCCTAATGTGACGCACCAGATTATCATTGTTACGCTGTTGGGGATCGCCAAGGAGGTGGAGGATGCCTATGGCAAGATTCTGGGGTCGTGATCGTTTCTCCCCTTTCGAGATGTCACCTCTTGAGTGCCCTAATTCAGTTGGACACATTTCTGGTCCATCACAGTTTTTTTTTTTGAATTTCCTGATACCACTGTTGTTTTTAGTACATTGTTATAGCATATTCTTAATTATACATGTAATTTTCCTTCAAATGAAAATAACGGTGAACCTTGGATACACGAATAAAGCAGTAGGGTTATCGACTATACGATTTGACCAAGAAGAGATGAACTAGAGAGTGCAATTTGTTCCTGAAACGCAAACATACCGAACCTTTAACAAAACCGCCAACTATGTCAATGCATCCTCTTTTTAATTAAAGAGATTCGTCAAAATCGTAGGCCAGGAACCAGTTTACAGGCCAAATTGAGAGCGCAGAGATTCTGCGAAGCGCGAGATAGCTTCATCAATCTTCTCCGACGAGGCAGCCGCGAAGGTTGCACGGAAGAACATCTTCTCCTCGGCCAGGTCATGGTCGGGCTTGAACCAGCTGCCACGAGAGAGGAGGACACCTCCGTTCACTGCGGACAGGAAGATCTCTTCTTCAATGGCGGCGTGAGTCTTGCCCGCGGCAACGCCGGGGTGCTTACGCCAGTCGATTTCCATCCAGTGCTAGTGTCAAAAAAAAAATAAGCATCCGTCACAGAATGAGAAGTGAACGGAGGAGGCGAGGATAAGAAGAACGATAAAACTTACGAACATGCCAGCCGCGGGGGCTTCCCAGTGGGCGATTTCGCGGGGCAGGTGCTTCTCACAGGCATGAACGAGCGAGTCACGACGAGCAGTGTAAGACATACGCAGGTTGATCAGCCAATCAAAGTACCCGGCGTGGCCCCAGTGCTCATCGAGAAGTTTGAAGAGTGCGAGCTGGGAAATACCGCTAGGGTTCTGCGAGGAGACATCGAAGTTACGGGTGAAGCGCTCGATGATCTGCTCGGAGGCGACGATCCAGCCCACCCGGGAACCGGGCGAGACAACCTTGGAGAAGGACTCGAGACGAACGACACGGCCATCAGTGTCCATGCTCAGGAACGAGGGGACAAGGGACTTGAGGAACTCTTCGTGGGTGGAGGGGGGAGGCACTGGGGAGGCGTCGCCGCTGGTATAGGGCTGCATTTGCAGGAAATAGTAGGGTTCGTCCTCGACAATGATGAGATCGTGTTTCTGGGCGACCGCGTACACGGCGTGGCGGCGTTCCGCAGACTGGGTAGCACCAGTCGGGTTCTGACCTGTTGGGATGGTGTATAGCACGTAAGGCTTGCGCGCACCCCGAGCGACGACATCCCAGCTACTGAGAATTTCGTCCATTTTCTCCGGGATCAGACCTTGTCCGTCCATTGGGATGCCGACGGCCTTTACACCCAGAGGGAAGGCAGCCTCGGCGGCACTGGCGAAGGTATATTCCTCCATGAGGATGTAGTCTCCGCGCTCACAGAACAAGCGGAGAGCACTGTCCCAGGCATAGGTGCTGCCAGCGGTCAGGGTGCATCCCCAGTCGGAGTAGGGAGGGCGGTGGATGATCTGAATTAGTTAGTCTCTGCTATGACACAAGAAACCTGATGTTGTAAACTCACTTCGGTGTGCTCCGTGACAAAACGAAGCAATGGTGCAGCTCCGGTGGATTGTCCATAGTTAAGGGCAATCTCCAGGTCTGGGGATTTGGATCAGCCATGGCTATTCCTAATGCCTGTAGAGAGCGGCAACTTACCGTAAGTGCTAGTTCCTTCTTGGATATCATGCTTTCCGGCACGAAGAACTGTGCCTGACTCCCGAGTAGCCTCCGGAGAGAATCCCGGGGCAGTAGGAACCTTGATATCCAAGTGCTCGATGGGAAAGTATTCAGCCGAAGGCAGTCCACCACCGAGAGAGATAAGACCTTTAAAACACAATCAGTTCATGGATTGAGAAAAAAAAACAGGATATTCTTGGGCATTACCTGGGGTTTTCAGGTAACGAGCGGCAGACTTCAAAGTAGACGCCTAAGGTGTGCAGATTAGCAAAAGTAGGACTTCGCATTGCGCAATTGAGTGCAAACCTTGCGAGACTTGGATTCAAGTGAAAACCGGTCTGAGATGGATTGGAAGTAAGTACAAATGGAACAATAATCAACCCGCATAGATTCGGAAAGAGGAGAGGTAGACATACGCTCAAACTGCTTAGCCTTGGGCTTCGTATAGCAGATCTAATGCGCCCACATGGTATCAGTATTCCGCAGCCTGCAATTGAATCTGGTCCTTGGCCTATATCCTCGCGATGCCTATGCACAATCTACAAACATCATACCGGGCTCTTAAACATATCACTGTTGGATGCCGCGGCCACGCCGGTGGGTACCTTGGCCGTCTTCTGTCTCAATGCAGACACACCATTGACGGTCAAGGGTTCCAGAATAGAGACTGCCGAGGTATCGGTGACGCCCACCAGATTGACACCAAGGGGTGCCGACGAACCCATCTCTGGTAGCGGTGTAGTTGCGGGATGCGAAATCGGAGGGTATGTGCGGGGAGGTATGCGGAGGGACGTGCGGAGGGATGTGTGAAGGGATGCGCGAAGGGAAGTTTAGGATGTGAGATTGTAGTATTGGCCTGATATGTCTGAAACCAAGTAGGATATTTATATGAAAAAAAAAACCGGAATTCGCAAAGTGCTACAGAGAGCTCGGCGAAAGCGGAGCGGAACTTGGATGTCTCTCCCTCCCGAGAACTTTGTCCGAACATGACTCATTTTGCAACTGGAATCAATGGCCAGTACAACCTGTGTTTCTGATTTAGTGCATTAGTATGTCAAAGGGCGCGGAGCTCTTTTAAATGCATTCCTAAAGTCCCGAAAAATCCCCCGAGTGACTTCTCTCGGCGTTGTTAAGGCATGAGATTAACAGCAATGAAGATACAAGGTTAGAACATCAAGCGTAATAAGATCTATTTTAGGTGCAAAAAGGTTGGCAGAAAAGGCCACTGGCATACAAAGTGTGCCAGGCTATTCATTCCAGAACTCGGTTGGGGAGGGTGTAAGCTCAACGAGTCACTACCACCTCTTCCATCTCAATTCCATGTTCTCTGCTCTCCACAAATTTCCCTGGGGTCCCGTCAAGCTGCGCTTCCGGCACCGGTGCCTTTCCACTCATGGAATGCCGTGGCGCAATTGCGCCATGAGATTTTTGATATTCAAGAAGGCTCCGTTGCCGCCCTCTGGAACCACAGCCAGTCCAGAGATTTCTTGTCAGGGCTTCGAATGCTCCTCATCCCGCCATTGGTCCATGGTGATAGATTCCTTGGAGCCAAGGAATCGCTGTAGACACCGCTGAGAAGCGACATACTCGTTGATTTGCTTGAGCGCTGTGGAAGCATCGGCACGGAATGTAGCCATCGATGGAATGGAAAACAGGAATCTGCTGCTTCAAAGGGTCGACATCAAGGTGGAAAATCTTGGCTGACGCAGACGGCTTGTCCTGGGTAGGCACCCAAAGGACATCGCAGTCTACCACAAGGATAACACCGGATGTTCCCATCGCCTCGTGACCTGAATGTCTCAATCCCAACCATCCAGGATGGTCAGCTGGGAAGCCCATGTCGCTACCAGCGGTGTCCAACACACGAATTCCCTTTGAAGCGATCTGCCAATGCGACAAGCTCAGTCACAGTCTGAGATTTCCTCCCAGAAACTCCATTCGCAGCGGCAAGGCTCAGATGCGATCAACTCGACACCAGAGGTTGGTAGGGCAGCCGGTGCCACAGGACCCCAAACGGCCTGATACAGCTCGATATCCTCCTCCATGACCTCTCCCGCCCCAGCGGGTCACTAATCTAGATACGAATTGCAAAGCCTGGTTCACAATCTGCGTGACGTTCTTGCCCGACATGATCTCGCCGGTGTATCGACAGTTCTACGAGACGATTTGCTTCTGATCCGGCACATCTTGAATCCAGAGGAGATATTCCGTGCACGAACCTCACATCTCACCCTAGATCGTGTATGGTGATAGACCGGGGCACGCCCGCATGAGGCGTTGAACACTGCTGTTCCGAGTCCCTGTGTGCCGACATCAACTTGGACGATTACTGCTTATGTTTTCCCGGTCCATCGGGCGTATCCGTCGGCCCTGTGCGGAGTATAGTGCGACGATCTAAGCAACATATTGCATCGTCAGCGGGGCTCTCATTCCTACTTCCGACTCTAACCGAAGTGCTGCTGCTGACCTTGATGAGTCCCGTGATTCCATTTATAGCGTACCTCTTTGGGGTCATTCGTGGAGGGGATTGGTCTTTCTTTTCTTTCTGGCCTCTCAAGAGATGCCGTATAAACCCTTGTGGCTTGTGAGCAAAATGAACAGCTCACTATTTTAATGGGGGAGCTCCATGCATAGCGAAGCTCTATGCAACTATGAATGGTTGAATAATAGAAATGGTATTTCGGGCCTTTGGATATTGATGTCTGAAAGAGAGAAGAGAGGGGAAGCACGTTGCTAAGAAGGCTCAAGATCTAGGGCCTTGAATTGGGTTCTCGGCCACAACTCCGAGGGCGAAGGAACACCAACTGCCCTTGATGAATTCAATTTGCATGCAATTCCAGTTTGTGGCTTGGTTTGAAAAGATCATCTTCGAATCAGTCGTCGCGATCTTGTTCTAGAGGGTAAATCAACAGGCAGTAACAACCGCAGTCAAAAAGCCTCGGGCGCTGAGCCGGGAATATCACCAAATCAGGTCACGATATTGAAGACCTTTATGCAAACAGTGACAGAGGGAGGAAGGAACAGTTTTTCCCATGTACAACAAGGATTTTTCGTCGACCAAGAGGTTTGGCGCATTTGCAAGCTACGCAGCCCTTGAGGGCTGGCCCCGGGGGGTGGGTGGTTCCTGGGTTCAGCACCACCCCCTCCCGCTAGATCAGGCCAATCCACATGATCATCCCGGCTTTTGATCACTGGCACGGACTTTCAAAGTCCAGCTCGCGTATTCTCATCTGTGATACGGCATCTCCAGGGAACTCTTCCGGCTGGGCCGGGCCGCCTTGCCTATCTTTCCATGCTGACCATAAGGCTGGCCATGTGGGCCAGGCAGACGAAGCTGAGGCCATATGCACGTCCGGGTGATTATTGACTTGGCAAGAGGCTGTGCCTGCAAAGCGTCTCAACCCCTGCAGGAGCTGAAAAGAACACGAGCAATAGAGGTAGGTGCCTGGGCGACCCACACCTGGGTTAGACTGCTGAGCGTGGCGTGGCGTTGAGGGCTCATACATGAGCGGACTGGTGCAGATCAACAACACAGAAAATCCAAAGCGACCTCGAGATGAACCCTGCTAGTGCGGCCATACTATTAGAAATCTAGACAAGGGGGTCAAGGAAAATCACATAGATAGAGTTGCCCGCCGACTAGCCTTCATCCAAATCCTCTCCCAGAGCACATAAACTTCCATGGCAGATACAACATGTCTCTCTGCACCGAAATTCATGAACCACAATATAGATCCCAACAGAGAAGGGACTACAAGACCCAGCCCGTCCGTAAGCGCATCATCATCTGCTGCGATGGAACATGGCAATCCGCCGTTTCAGGCAAGAAAAACGTCCCATCTAATGTGACGCGTCTCTGTCGCGCTCTCAACAGTGTCGGAACCGACGAAGATGGGAATCAATGGCAGCAAATAGTCTGGTACGATTCCGGGATTGGTACGACGTCAGGTCCTTTGGGACAAAAGATCGAGGGTGCTATCGGCCTAGGCCTGGAAGGAAATGTCATCGAAGCGTATAATTTTTGTGTCCTGAACTACAGACCCGGCGATCAGATAATGTGTTTTGGTTTCTCGAGGGGTGCTTATACGGCCCGTGCCATTGCCGGGTTGATCTCCGATGTTGGTATTTGCAGTAAACAGGATTTGAATCGGTTTCCCGATCTCTGGGCAGTTTATAAGAAACATCCGCCCGGCGAGCGGTTCTATTGCAGTGATCTCTGGTTCGAGTGGATGGATGGGAAGGCGGATGAGAACCAGGGTGCTCGAGGCGAGACGTTCATTTTTGAACAGCGTCCGGAGGGCGATTGGGCCCAGGAGGGGTCAAGGGATGTGGAAGTTGTTGGTGTCTTTGATACAGTCGGCGCTATTGGACTACCAGAGGTGCTGGGGATAAGATTGCCATCTTGGTTGTTGTGGTGGGCAGGTAAGGATGGGTGGGAGAATGTTGGGCTTTCACCTAGTAAGTAAACCATATCCTCTCATTTCCTCCTTGCCTCGGTGTGATTTCATGGTGGGCTGAATATTGACAAACGGTCCCCAGATGTCAAACATGCATTTCAGGCTTTGGCCCTCGATGAACACCGCAACGCCTTCTCGCCTACTCTGTGGTATCTCCATAAACTTGGAAACGTCACGTCAGGGCAGATAAAAGATCAGAAGAAGATGGTTGATCAGGAAGCTCAAAAATGGGAGGACCTCTTGCAAGATGCAATCCATCTCAAGGGTAGCGGCAGGGCTAGCGATAGGGATGTCAACAACGCAGCCCGATCGTTAAACCAAACCGCCAGAGCCTTGAACCAGGAGGCCCGAAAGCTTCTCAAGTTGGAAGATGACCACAAGCACCAGCACCACCCTCGAACCTTGACACAAGTGTGGTTCCCTGGTTATCATATTCATGTTGGCGGAGGCTCAAGTGATACCCTCAAAAGTGAGGGTGACATGGAAGAAATGTCCAACATCACCTTCTCCTGGATGCTGGACCAGATCAAACCCTATCTGTCCCTCAACGAAAAGTACATCTCCGAGGAAAGAGAAGATAGGGACTACCACATTTCAACGCTTGTCGAAACTACAGTCCATAAGGAGTCCTGGAGAGGTTGGGTTCAACAAAAAGCTGCAGCAATAGCATCGGCTTTCAAACTCAAATATCCCCCCCTGCCTTCCGTTCAGTCTGTGGACAAGCGACGCAGCTATGGTTGGGGAACAGGCCCGCTGGAAGACAGCTTTACGCCATTTTACTACGCAAACGGGTCACGGAAGCGAACACCTGGACGCTACGATCCGTTGGACAAAGATGGACATCGGTTAGGAGAGACGTTCGAGTTTATTCATCCAGTGGTGGGATTTCGGGAGAAGCATGTCAAGGCTTATACGCCGATTGGCCGTGATGTCAAGTTTGCCCGTCGGAGAGCTCTTGACGAGCAGGGCCGCCCTGGTTATGTTTATGACCTGGGAGATTCACGCAAGCCCTTACCGGAGTGGCGCTTAGGAGGGCTGAACTCTTTTGAGAGGCTCGCCATCAGTGGCAAGGCTGCAAATGATTATGTCGACGAACTAGATCGATATTTGCAGACTGGGATCACGACACAATGCCGATCTATTGGGGGAATTCGAGATATTGACCATGGGATTGAAATGCCCGAAAATGGGGACTTGCGACAGGGGGACTTCACATCAGAGAGATCTCACCACCAAAGTCTTCAATTTGGGATTCAGAGTCCACAATGGAAGAGCAAAGATGTTTCATACAGCCAGGAAACTGTGACTCCCATACGATAGTTCTTTGCTTTTACCGCCTCTCCCTGGAACAATCATGTATGGGGTGAAATGCGCGTGGCAGCGCAACCAAGTGGGCCTTTCGGACATGGCTTTTTTTTTTTTTTGTCATGGCTTTCTCTTTTTGTGCGAAGTTTGAGATTCTCTTAATTTCGACCCAACTTCCCTTCAAGGTCTTTTTTTTGAATTTAGAGAAGAGTACAACATAGACATCATGTCCACCCCTAGAGCTCAAAATCAAGCAATTGATTTTGTGGGGCATGCAGTATCCGACGTCATAGGGCTGAACAAGATGTGAAAAATGTTTAGGTACCACAATTCAAGTCTCTCTGGACCCAGTTGTGTCTCTTTTGAGGCTGTTTAGTTCGGTAACCGAGTGCTATACGTCATTGTAGTGGTATCTTCCACCTGTAGGATTAGAATCCTATTAAACTGTGTGTTTGTCAACTTGCTACTTCCTCCGTTGGAATCATCTTTCGATAACCCTATCGAGTTCAGTGCGAGATGGTACCACGCAAGGTGTACAATATGTGTCAAGGGCAGACGGTAACCTCGGAGTTAGCCCTTGACCCATCGGAGTGTCCCCAGAAAGTCTTTCATAGCCTGTTCGAGAGCCATCATGCATCGCATACATACGATGGTGCGGAAGAATCAGATGTCGACAAGGCATTGGAATGGGAATCGTTGAATGAGCTGCAGAAAGCTCGCACTTGCGGGAACTTTGGGTCGACCGAAACGAGTGATCTATTTCTAAAGGTGAATGAATTTGCTGTGTCGACAGTGAGAGAGAACTTTCTGATATCCACCAGGTTTATCGTGATGCATTGTGTTGTTTAGAAAAGAACCCAATGTCGGGGGTGGTATCACCCCAGCTGCTGGGGAGTACAGGAGTTCTACCTCTGACAATTGTCGCACCATTGCCTGATCTCTGTCGCCATTTAGCGAATTGCATTGTGCGCGCCGAACATGAAGTTTTTTTGGGGACCAATTTCTGGATCCACTCGGACGCATCCACATTAGTGACGAACGCTATCCGAGAACTTTCCAAACGAGCAGGAGAAAAGGGGCAGAAAATCGTTATGAAAATGATCTATGATCGTGGAGATCCTCGTCAGGTGAGTACTCGTTTGATTGATGCATATCAAATATGATCGACCGTAAAGATGCTAATGAATCACTAGGCGTGGGAGAATAGACTGAGTGTCCATGAGGACGAATATGTCGGCGGAAAAGTGAGCCTACCTGCCGCGAGCGAGATCCCCAATGTCGATCTCCAAGTCATCAACTACCACCGACCTCTCCTTGGAACGTTCCATGCTAAACTCACTGTGATTGACCGGCGCATGGCGCTCCTCCAGAGCAGCAATATCCAAGATAACGACAACCTTGAGATGTTGGCTCATATCGAGGGCCCAATTGTTGATTCTTTCTATGACGCTGCTTTACTGTCGTGGGGAAAGGCTCTCGACCCCCCATTCCCACTTCTGAATTCTCCTGCGAGGGATGCTCCGATACCATGCCATGAAGAAAGGAGCGATGTTATCCCTCCAGAGAATGGAGATAGAGCTCTTCCTGAGCATACGACCGATTCTCCACATTATGATAGTGACTTTGAACAAGAGGCCCGGAGAGTCAACGATTGTATCCACCCACAAGGTGACGAAACACGCACACAGGCCGTCAGCCGTCATCTCAGTATGTGAAAGTCATTTACCATCTATCACACTGCCTAACAACTCAACAGATACAACCATCCAGCCTGACACAACGGGCGACGCACCAGAAAGTGATCAGGATGATCCGTTCAATCCTTACATGATTCTACCTCGCCACGAGCCCTTCGCGATGGCGTTGGTAAACAGGGAACCATATGGGTGTAAGTCCAAGCCACAATGAGGAGTCTCCCTTAGACAGCCGAACGGGACTCTAACCCTCGATTTCTCAAGCCCCGAATCACAGCCACGTGCACACCCCGCAAAATGCAGCGTGGCTATCCGCAATCAACAATGCCCAGCAATCAATCCTCATCCAAACACCCAACATGAACGCCGAGCCTCTACTGGAGCCCCTCCTCAATGCCGTTCGCCGCGGCATTGTGGTATCCTGCTATCTCTGTCTTGGCTACAACGACGCAGGAGAGCTCCTCCCGTTGCAAAATGGGACCAACGAAATGATTGCGAACAGGCTGTATAACGACCTCGAAACCGAGGACGAGAAATCTCGTCTACAGATATTCTATTATGTCGGCAAGGACCAAACTCGTCCGATTCATAACAGCTTTAAGAAGCGGAGCTGTCATATCAAGTTGATGATTGTCGACGAGCAGATTGCAATTCAAGGTAACTCCCATGACACACTAGGAGAGAAGCATGCATTATGCAAGGATCTAACAATCTTTCCAGGTAACGGGAACCTCGACACCCAGTCATTCTTCCACAGCCAGGAAATCAATGTCCTACTTGATTCCGCCCTCGTTTGTCGTGCTTGGACCGAGTTGATCAATCGCAACCAAAACACTGCCAAATATGGCGCTGCAAGTAAGATGGACGGCTGCTGGCATGACCCTGAGACCGACGAGATTCCGGCGGGCTCCATGGGGCCTATCCGGGGTTGGTTCAGTTGGGCTAAGGGAGCTGCTGGTGCTATACGGCGGGTGAGAGGTGTTGGCGGATTTTAGAAGTTCGTGTGCTTCTGTGCTTGGGGGTGCTTCTATCTCGGGATTTCTTTGACTAGAGAGTAAATTTAATTTACTTGAATCTCTTGTGGCAATGGACGACCCAAGAGAATATCCTCTTATAAGATACATCGGACAAAGGGTAGTGGAGTTCGGGTCCATGAGTAGCAGATTGCCAAGATATACAGTGAAATTCGCGTTTTTCAATGTTGAAATTGAACACAAAAAGCCTTCGCGTGCGACCGTATCATTCTAGGAAATCCACCGAGGACTTCTGCAACATGTACCCTCCATGAGATATTGCCAAGATGATAAATCTCTATTGAATTCCCAATTTCAGACTAAATCAGACACAGAGGAAGCCAAACCTTCACTAACACATCTCTCCTTATCTAAATGTCACGCCCTTACGACCAACCCATGGTAGACATAGTCTACTATGTCTACCACCACCCCCTCAACCAAGACGACGAATCGATTTGGAAATGCGCGCGGACAGCCCTGCTGGATGCAATGGGCTGCGCCATCGAAACAGCAGCGACGAGCAGCGAATGCAGGAAGCTACTCGGACCCGTGATCGAAGGCACAGTAGTGCCGGATGGATTCAAGGTCCCAGGAACGGGGTTTCAGGTCGATCCCGTGAAGGGGGCCTTCGACCTTGGTGTCCTTATTCGGTACTTGGATCATAATGATGCGCTCGGCGGTGCGGAGTGGGGACATCCTTCAGGTATGGTTTATTGAAGACATGTGGCTGGAAATTGTGTCCATGAGACTAAGATATGGATGGAGTTGCAGATAATCTGGGTGCTATACTCCAAGTCATGGACTGGCTGTCTCGTGCAAGTTTGTCTGGTCGACGGGTTCACGACGGTCCGCCGTTGACGATGCAGACGCTGCTTACTGCGCTGGTCAAGGCGTACGAGATACAGGGCTGTTATCAAATGTTGAACGCTTTTAATGCATATGGAATCGATCACGTGGTGCTGGTCAAATTGGCTTCTGCTGCCGTTGTTTGTTGGTTGCTTGGGATGACGGAGGTACAAGCCATAGCGACTCTTTCTCATGTTTGGATGGATGGCCATCCAAATCGGGTTTACCGATCCGGCGCAAATACCAGCTCGAGGAAAGGGTGGGCAGCAGGCGATGCGGCCAGAAGAGCTGTGCAGTTGGCTCTACTAGTCCAAAATGGCCAGCCTGGTTCGCCGGGGGCGTTGAGCGCGAAGCCATGGGGATTCTGGGAGCGGACTTTTGGCGAGGTGGGATTTGTACTTCCACGACCATTTGGATCGTGGACGGTACAGAATGTGTTGTTCAAAAGTATGCCTGTAGAAGGGCATGCGATCTCTGCTGTGGAGGCAGCCGTTTTACAGGCGCATCGGTTTCGACAAAGGGGTCTGTCCGATCCTCTCAAACAGATCCAGCGAATAGATCTGCGAACGACTGCTGCTGCCTTGTTGATCATCAACAAACACGGACCGCTAAACAACGCTGCTGATCGTGACCACTGCATTCAATATGTGGTCGCCCTGGCATTCTTGAAGGGTGATCCGCCAGAGGCTGCAGACTATTTAGACAAAAGCCCATGGGCAAACAATGAGGAGCTTGAAGCCTTGCGAGAAAGGATCGTGGTGCAGTCAGATCCTAAGCTCACGGAGGACTACTTGGATCTGGACAAGAAGAGTATTGGTGCGGGAATGACGGTCCATCTTGCAGATGGGTCCTCATTGCCACAGATAGTGATTCAATATCCCGTAGGACATGCGCGGAATCCCCAAACACCAGCTGCGGTGCAAAAGAAGTTTTTCCAAAACATGGGGCTAATGTTCTCTGCGACAGAGATCGGTTGGATATTGGGTGCTGTTCAAAATCCAGATGCTTTGATCTCGGATTTCATAGATCTGTTGATCCAGCACTCAGTCAAGGCAAAGTGGTAGAAGGCAACGCTATCTGCAGGTACCACGGATTGGTTCTACTAGCCAAAAACGACGATCTTGTTCAGGCTATTTAGTTCTGTCGTCTGATTCTTCTCAATCGATTCTCCCCACTCCCCGCAGCGTCAAATAAACATCCGTTCCCCACCCCCACAGACTTTGCACGGCAATACTACCACCAAAGTATTCGGCATAGGCTCGGCCAAGAGGCAGCCCATAACCAAGACCGGCAATGCTGCTGACCTGGCCACCACTAGCAGAGATGGTATTCAAGGCGTCCATACTGCCGTTCTCTGAGCCCTGGAGGTCTATATCGGAGAAAGTCGTAAAGCTGTACGACCAGATATGGGGTAGAATATCCGGTGGAATACCACCACCTCGGTCACGGATACGGATTGTAATACTCTGAGAGGATGGAACCGAGTCCCCAATGGTTTCATTCTCGCTGTCACTGGAAAGCCCCGAACCAAGCTCAAAGTCAGCTTCGGTATCACCCGGAACCGGCGGTGTATTCCCGGGAACATCTGGAGCAGCCGCGATAGTCACCTCGATCGGCTCACGCTCATTTCCATTTTCAATAGTTGCCCGGAATGCGTTCTTCAATAGCTCCGTGATGATGTACTCCACATGCACAGGAATGTGAGCAAAGGTGGCCTCAGGCTCACCTTCAATCTCCAAACGCGGTCGCACTCCGTATTTGAGCTCACAGATTTCGCCAACGAAATCCTCACAAAGCCGGATGATACGTGCCGGCTGCAAAGCCGTGTCAATGACACCTATATAGTTTGATGGAATTGAGTTCTTGGGAGCGGGTGCGTCCGCACCATCGGACGAGGTATCACTGATGGGCTGGGAGGCAAAATGAAGGGCTAGATGTTGCTCTGCGATCAAGCGCGTGCCGATACGCGCCCGTAGATGCGTGTCTAAGAAGCTCGTCACGTCGGCCGGGCTCACATATTTCCTGCACTCCAGAAACCCGCGTGCAAGGACGGGAATTGTATTTGTGTGCGTCTGTACAAGGTCTGCCAGTACATCCCCGAACTGTTTCTCCTCTTCAAGGGTCGTGATGCGGCGCTGTTGATATGGTATGAGGGTTGACAACGAATGGAGGTAATTATGGTAGATTTTGGAGACATGGGGGTTTGAGACGACGATGAAAGGGAGGTTTCGTAATGCTTGAATGCGAGAAGCAAGTCGGGCGGGGAGGAGGGATAGTGTGAAGTTGGCAGAGGCTAGAAGAGCCTCTTTGTTCAATGGTGGGCGGCCGTGTCTGAGGGATTGACATGAATTCAGCACAATTTTGATTCAGCTTTGGCATGAGATATTATCTTAGACTGACTTTAGTAGGTCTGCAAGTGTCAACGGCCGACGGGGACTTGCAGCCAGCTGCGCAACATTGTCTTTGGCGACATCAAATGGACGACCAGCCCAGTTTTGACTCTGCGTGGACGATTGACGAAGAATACGAGGTCGCGCAATCTGAAGGCTCCGGTAGCCAGGCCGAAAAGCCATGGCCCCAGGTATTGAGGTTGTCATTGTGGATTGTAGCCATGAAACAAAATGAGATTAGTGTGAAGTTCACCGTGAAACCCCGGCACGGAAGATCTGCATCGGCGGGGCGGACATCGGTCCAAAGTTGCAGACAGGGATCATACCAACAAGGTCGCCATTTTACCAGTGAAAGGTTCATGAATTTACATGAATTTCTACTTTCGGATGTTTCAAAGGGCTCACTTGCGTTAAATTCAAACACCCTGTGCACATACTCAACCTGATAGTTGAACTCAGCAAAATTGCTCCATCTGTATCAATGCCTGTGCCTCTCACATTTGGAGAAAGGCCGGTACTCAGAAGATGTACATGGCATCATGGATGACAACAGGCCACATAATTGGTACCAAGTCATCTCGCTGAAGTAAAACCCAAAAAAAAAAATTGGAAAGAAAGAAAAAACTCCCGGATGTCCAGCCATCATGTCTCTGTCTGATCAAAAAGCGAAACATCCACAGCGACTGTATTCTTCAGTCCTATTCATAATGAATAGGAGAACCTACTAAGTAGTTGCAGCGCCGTCCTGCTCAACGTGTACATGTTTAGTGGATTGGAAGGTTTGGACAGTGTCATCGGGGAACTCGACACTAGTATAGATCCATAAATCGGCATGTGCTTCGATGGCATGAATTGGATCAGCACCACTTACGTGAAGCCTTTAATGATGCTGTATTCATGTCTGATGACGCCGCCATTCTCCTTGGCTGCTGCCTTAGCCCTAAGGAGATATCTTAGCACCACAGTATTCGAGATAATGGTAATGACATACTTCTCCAGCTCCTCAACGGGAGCTTCGGTCTTCAGAGTGATCTAGCGAGATGTTAGTCCAGATGATTTTGAAGATAAAGCTGAACTCACGTTGTAAAGAGGCATGATGCAAGATAGCAAAAAATGTGTCAGAGTGCAAAGCGTGAAGAGAGGGAGGGAAATAGAAAGAAAGAATTTATAGGAAAAGAGAAGGGGCTTGGAGGGGGGGGGGGGGGGGGAAGGCGTACACTTTATTTTGGAAGGTGCCTTGAAAGCAGCTACCTTTCAATGGCCAGCATTCTCTTTCTTTCACCTTTTACCCTTCACCTTTGCATACTTTTATGTAGCACTTGGGGGTTCCCTGTGCTACTTGTGATCTATTGGTTATTGCATGTCTGCCTGACATGGACCTGGTTGTGCCTTCTACAGTGAACCCACTCTCTTCAAGCAAGATTCCCATTGCACCCCTTGCTGAAATGACTCTATAATTTCCCAAATTCTAATCCGGCCTACTATCCATGTTGTAAAGAAGGGGAATCGCTGTTTTGATGTAACGACGCGAGGCAATGACATCATGTTTTGGGAAACGCGGGGCAATGTGTCTTGCATAGAAACACGGTATTTAACACTTCAATCGATGACTGCATGTTTTAAATTTGATACCTTAACCCTAGAGTCCAGTGTAGCCATCTTCTTCACGAGGAGGCATCTTCATACCGTGCATTCCTTTATACTTGGGGCTCTCTGGAGCCCTCCACCCCTCCAGAATTTTGTCATCTGCTAGCTGGTATACCTCCACACCCAACGGACGACATGTGGCTCCCATGTCAGCCTCTTTATCATCCCAACCCCAATTAGACAAATCCCCTGAGGATATGATTAGCATGAAAATAAGACATTCGAGTAGAATGGCGCCATACCGCCAGGGCACGCAGAAAGCGCGCAGAGAACATCCACTTCTGCAAAGAATTCAAAGTACTCGCCCGCCCTCGCAGGGGAGGTCTCCATAAAATACTTTCCATCCTTATCCAGCCCCGTCACCTGAAACACATTCAAGACATCATGGACATCTAGCTCCGTCAGTCCATGAGGAACGACAGAACGAGTCAGGTTCGAATGACAGTGGAAGTCAAAGGTCTCTCCGCCCATCAGCAAGTTGACATAAGGATCGCATCGAGTGCCCATCAAATCATGCACCCGCCCTCCAAATTGCGTAGGTCCGAATACGACCTCCGGGTTGCGCTTTCCATCAGGTCCAAGCACGTCATGCAGCTGCCCGCCGCCCAACGAGTCACCCGTAATTGTTACGAGGGGCCGCAGATATGGCAGATTCGACCATAGTCGGTCACCCACTGAGACGTGGGAGGCGTGAATCTGTCGAGTACGCGCAGCCCACATCCGTTCTCTGGGATTATTTGCGTTCCAAATGTTCAGATCGCCTACCTGTGGTCCCTTTGGTGTGGTCAGGCGGCAGATGTGGCCGGCAGGGACAACCCACGCTTGGGCGGAGCATGGTCTGATGGTGAATGATTCTTTCGAGACCCGCGCAGACGGGTTCAATGCGGTTTCGGAGATTGAGCGGTACAACTTTGAAGTTGCATGAACCCCCGAATCGGGTGGTGCTGTGTAAGCTGGAGATGGCTGACATGTAGACATTATCGGGGTGGTATAGAGAATGGCTGTTACACATAAAGGTCTAGTAGACACAGCGAGATTGGATTTATAGGATCCGGGGGGCAACGGACAATCGGGGGCTTCCCGATGTTAACGGCTTCTGCCCCACATGATAGCTAGAGGAAATTACATCCTCCGATTTCTAAAAAAAGTCCAGCGCGGCGTGAGATAGCGCTATCACGGAACCCTAATGCCGTGGACTGAAGGTAAGCTCCAGCAGTGGGGTCTCTGATATCTCATGGCTTCGGGTGGAGCCAAATTACCGGCCCGGTAAAGGATTACGTGTGGGATTACCAGGATAAGGATTGCTGCCTTAGGCAACAAAGCTTCTGATCTCCTGACTAAGGATTATCTACTCCGCTTCGGCAGAAAAATAATTGCTGCCAACTTTTTGGCCGTCGTCGGGGAAAATCCTCTACTTTGATTGCGCGTGCATTTCTTTGCTTTTTAAAATAAAGGAGTTGATCTGCTGAGGTTTTATACCTCTATACAGATAGCATGGAGCAGCAGGCCAACAGGGCGCATCGCCCTGCCAAAGAAAAGAAGAAATTCGAAGGTACGGCGAGACTGCTCCAACAAATCTGCAAACTTTCTGCTAACAAAGATTTTTCCTTATAGGTGCTAACCCAAAAGCTTTCGTCACTTCCAGGCCTGGAAAGCTCAATAAGCAGGCTGCGCGATCGCATGATGTATGTATATGTAATTTTTCTACTGGTCAATTGATGCTGACTGACTTCTCCTCTAGGTCAGAGAAAAGAGACTCCATGTTCCCCTCGTGGATCGTATGCCCGAAGAGGCCCCGCCAGTCGTTGTCGCCATCGTTGGACCCCCGGGAGTCGGAAAGACAACTCTGCTCAAATCTCTGATCCGCCGCTACACCAAACAAACCCTCAGCTCGCCGCAAGGCCCATTGACTGTTGTTACGACCAAGCGCAAGCGTCTGACCTTCCTCGAATGCCCATCCGACTCGCTCGCAGCTGCGATTGATGTTTCCAAGATCGCAGATATTGTGCTTCTCATGATTGACGGAAACTTTGGATTCGAAATGGAGACGATGGAGTTTTTGAACGCCTTATCGACAGCCGGTATGCCGGGTAATGTCTTCGGTATTCTCACTCATCTTGATCAATTCAAGAAACACAGCACCTTGAAGGATGCGAAGAAGCGCCTGAAGCACCGTTTCTGGAGTGAACTATACGCGGGCGCAAAGCTCTTTTACTTGTCCGGTGTGATCAACGGCCGTTACCCCGATCGTGAAGTGCACAATCTTTCACGATTCTTGTCCGTCATGAAAAACCCTCGTCCGCTTGTGTGGCGCAATTCGCACCCTTACGCGCTTGCAGATCGCTTCTTGGACATTACACCTCCAACTCAGATCGAGGAAAACTCGAAGTGTGATCGCACAGTCGCGCTATACGGCTACCTACGCGGCACCAACTTCCCATCCCATGGCGCCCGAGTCCATGTTCCTGGTGTTGGTGATCTGACTGTTGCCAATATTGAGGGCTTACCCGACCCATGCCCAACTCCCTACATGGATCAGCAGATCGCCAAGGCGACAGGAAAGTCCAATCGGCGCAAGCTTGGCGAGCACCAAAAGCTGCTCTTTGCTCCCATGTCTGATGTTGGCGGTGTCTTGGTCGACAAGGATGCAGTTTACATCGATATCAAGACCAACACCTTTGACCGGGACTCGGACGAAGATTCGGACGATGCGGAACGCCGGGGTCTTGGTGAGCACCTTGTTGTTGGCCTTCAAGGCGAGCGCAAGATGCTGGGCGAGGCTGATCAGGGTGTTCGTCTCTTCCGGGGCGGCGAGGCCCTCAACACAGCGGATGACGACGAGACCGGCCGGAAAGATCGACGCCGCGCTCGCGTGGCTATACCCGAACAAGACGACATAGATATCCCCGAAGGTTCCGATAGTGAAGAGGAGGCGGATGAAGATGTGGACGAGGAGGATTTGACAGATGACGAAGGGGAGCTCGACATGTCTGCCCCTACAGACTTTGAAGCCCGATTCAAGGCCAAGCAGAATGGAAGTGCTGGTGTTGAGGAAGAAGACATGGCTTTCGCTGACAGTGACTCTGACCTGGGCTCCATCTCTTCAGTCTCAGACCAGGAACTTGAGAGCGGCGATGAAGACGAGGATGAGGAGGATGAAGATGATGAGGAGGGCAATGTTCGATGGAAGGAGAACATGCTCGCCAATGCCAAGTCCCTTCACGGGAAGCGCCCTCCTTTCCGAGTCAGCGACCTGTCAAGAATGATGTACGATGAGTCGATCACCCCACTTGACGTTGTGAAGACATGGCGCGGTGAAGATTCCGACGATGAGGAGGAGGACAATGAAGATAGAACCGCTGACGACGAAGGCGAGGACTTCTTCAAGAAGACAAACAACGAGAAAAAAGACCAAGCCGACTTCCGTGCCGTTCCGGAGTACGACTATGATGAGCTGGAGCGCAAGTGGCGAGATGAGGAGCTGCTCGAATTAATCAAACTCCGCTTCATCACTGGCAAACTGTCCGGTGGTGCCTCGGATGATGAGGATGGTGATATGGAGGATGACGAGGATGAAGATGAAGGCGATGGTGACTACGAAGACTTGGAGTCTGGTGAAGTTTTCAACGGTATCAAGGAAGATGGTGACGAAGATGAAGATGAGGAAGGCGATGATGAGCCCGAAAAGGCAGCCGACCTGGAAGCCGAGCGTGAGCGAAATGCTAAAAAGAAGGAAGAGCTGAAGCTTCGTTTCGAAGAAGAGGACCGCGAAGGCTTTGGAAAGGTTCAGGACGGGACGCATGATGGTATTGATGGCGAGTTCGGCGAAGATGATTGGTACGATCTGCAGAAAGCCAAGCTGCAAAAGCAGGCAGATATCAACCGCGCTGAATTCGAGACACTTGACCCAGCCTCGCGCGCCCGGGCTGAAGGCTACAAAGCCGGCACCTACGCACGTATCGTCCTCGAGAATGTACCTTATGAGTTTGTCTCCAAGTTCAACCCTCGCTTCCCTGTCATTGTTGGTGGTCTCTCACCTACTGAAGATCGATTCGGCTACGTGCAGATTCGCATCAAGAAACATCGCTGGCACAAGAAGATTCTCAAGAGCAACGATCCGTTGATCTTTTCGCTTGGTTGGCGTCGCTTCCAGACCATGCCTATTTACAGCACCTCCGACAGTCGGACGCGAAACCGCATGCTTAAGTACACACCTGAGCATATGCACTGCTTCGCTACCTTCTACGGACCCCTTGTCGCTCCGAACACCGGGTTCTGCTGTGTGAACTCTTTCTCGAACAAGAACCCTGGTTTCCGCATTGCGGCCACTGGCGTTGTTCAGAGCGTAGATGAGCACACAGAAATTGTCAAGAAGCTCAAACTCACTGGTTACCCTTACAAGATCTTCAAGAACACGGCCTTTATCAAGGACATGTTCACCTCTGCGCTGGAAATAGCCAAGTTCGAGGGTGCATCCATCAAGACTGTCTCTGGTATTCGCGGTCAGATCAAGCGTGCACTATCCAAGCCCGATGGCTGTTTCCGTGCTACATTCGAGGATAAGATCTTGATGAGTGATATTGCCTTCCTGCGTGCTTGGTACCCCATCAAGCCCCACCGCTACTACAATCCTGTGACCAACTTGTTAGACCAGGTCGATGGCGAAAAGGGTGATAATGGATGGCAAGGCATGCGATTGACTGGTGAAGTCCGTCATGCCCAGGGTATCGCCACCCCCAAACTTAAAGACTCGGCTTACAAGCCCATCGAAAGACAAGCCCGTCACTTCAACCCGCTTCGTGTGCCAAGACAGTTAGCCGCCGAGCTTCCCTTCAAGTCGCAGATCACCAAGATGAGGGGCCACAAGGATCAGACCTACATGCAGAAACGTGCCGTTGTTCTTGGAGGCGAGGAAAAGAAGGCCCGAGACCTCATGCAGAAGCTCACTACCTTGCGCAACGAGAAGCAAGCTAAGCGATCTGCCAAGCAAGAGGAGCGCCGCAAGGTCTACCGCGCTAAGGTGGCCGATAGTCTGGAGAAGAAGGCAGAGCGCGAGAAGAGAGAGCGCAATGATTACTGGCGCAAGGAGGGCAAGAAACGCAAAAACCCTGATGAAGACTCTGGTGGCCGTGGACGCGGCAAGAAGCGCAAGTGATCTATTCTTTGTTCTTGGACATGTCTTTGTCTACTTGGGTCTTTTGCATACATGGCGTTTGGACCCAAAACCTGTACCTACATTATGTTGGATGTTTATTTATATCAAACCTTTTTCATGAATGCACTACTTTTTGCACAGGCTTTCCTTTCGTGACCTCTTCTCAAGCCGCCCACATTGTAATCTCCTTCTATGCTGGCGGTCAACCTGCTTCTCGCCGTCCGTTGGTCTCCGGTGCCAGGAGTAGAAAATCCGCTTCACATGAAAGTCGGGGCACATGAAAGCAGTTCCAAAAGCCGGAAATTTCTAAATGAACCTTGGAACTAAATGTTTACACATCCGGATGTGGTACAATGGGTGAGGGTCTACTCATCTTCCCATCATCCCGACACCAAAATAGGTAAAGAAACCCTAACTAGCAAAGCTTCATACTCCATCATGATTCCCATAACAGGCTTGGTAGCACTCGCAGTCATGTTTATATCATTCTCGCGATTTCCTATTGCCCTCGATTTCCAACTCTCCAACTACATCTATTTTCCATCAAGCTCCATCAAAGCTCGGCCTTCATTCATCAATAAAACAACTTTCCCGAACATCAAACAACAAGTAGAATAACATGGCTCCTCTCCCAAGCCTCGTTTACAACAACGTTCTTTCTCTTCGTGCAGACAAGAAATACGAGGTTAAGGTGGAGAAAGAAATCCTCCTCGGTAAACTGATCCTGGGGCTCATCGCGGCCGCTTTTGCCATGTTCTTGGGCTACACAATGTAAGTGCACAATTTACCCTGGTATCTTAAAAAAAAAGGAAAGAAAATTCTAATGGCTCTACTAGCTACCTCAAGCTGAAGCCCAAGTATCAGAAAGAATGGAAGCCCAAGCTTCATCCTAAGCTTCGGGACTATAAGGAGAAGTATGAGGGCCGGAAGAAGCAGATGGGGACCTGGCATGGCCCCAAAGAACCACGCAAGTCCCAGCAATTTCCTTCCAAAATTGTCCTTGATACTAACGTTCCTTCTAGAGGCGCCAGCGCTTGCTCACATAGCTGGTAGTCGTGCTTCTGGGGCTCCGGATATTAGCCAGATCACAACTGATCTGACACCGGACTACCTGAAGATGTCAACGGCGGTCATCGTCTAGGGGAGTGGGTGTGGCTCAGTGCTGGTAGAGGTATCAAAGGCCTGCCATACTGGTGCCCGGATTTGATACGGAGTACGGAGGAAAGGGTTTCTTCATTTGCTTTCTCTCCCTTTCGTTTATTTTCTCTCAGCTTGTTCTTCCTTTTCGCTGAGTTGTAAGTTGTCTTTCTGTCGTCATTGGAGTTGAGTCATTGTTTCGGAGTATATTTCCTATGACTCCATGTTGTATATTATATCATTCATAACTCCAACTTATATGTTCTCTTGTTTTCCTAACCTGATGTGTAGTGGATGTAGTGGTCTCGTAGTCTGTTGTGATAGTATTCCCTCGAAGTATAGCCCATCGAACACAAGCCAGCCCACTTTTAACCCCCTTCAACCATTGTCATCTTCGAGGGCCATATACCTATGATTCAAGAAAATTCTCTTCTGTGTAGAAACTACTGATTCGGGTGAAATTGGTCTAGTCCTATCCACGTGACCGCGCCTCACACGCGCGTCCCAAGACCAGTCACCCTTACCCTCTACCAATTGCTCAACGGGATTCCTTTTGGTGCTAGCACACTGTGGTGCATCTATACCCAGAACTAGTTCTTACTGCTCGCATTCTGTTCTCCAAGCCCCTGTCGGGCCTTTCATCTGAGGTCAGAATCACAGTGGAGAAACCGATTTGCCGCCTCGCAACCTTGCGCGCGTGCTCACTCGATCGGGCAGATGCTCCTGGTTCTCACAGTACTCCCACGCGTCTTGTTGAGATCTTGACTGTTAGTTGCATCTAAATTATTGGTATCGGACCTTCCCAGCCCTAACTCTCGATGCGGTGACTCGAGACAGGACATGCGTGTTGAGATCGTGCGGCCGCGTAAACTCGCGATTAAAAGTCAGGTCGCGCGTATTCGCCGATTGTCGCTATCCCATCATCTTTAAATCTTCCACATCCCATGCTTGACCATGAATGAAGGTCGCGATGCTGTGTCTTATCGGGAGGTACTCCATGCGGAGGCCAGTGCGAACACCCACTCTATGAATGACGCGACATCTCCCGTGCCTCACAACCCAATGCCTTCGGCCAAGATCCAACTCACTCAATCGCCGAAACCATTGTCACTACAAATAGATGGTTTGAACGCCGTTACCATCGCTCACGGCGAAGGTAACTCGAATACAGCCTATATCGAATCATCGGAGCGCGGCAGCGATACATCGAGCGATGGCCGACGACTAGATCTTTCCGCTACCACCGTCACAGACTCTCTTTCAAGCCTTGCTTCATCCTCGACCAATGGTAATAATAGCCAGTCCTCAGAGCTTGGTAACTCTCATACATTGAATGGACATACATCGATACCGTGGGTGGATCAGGAGTTGTTGGAATCCCAACTTGCCCCGCACGTGCAGCCGGTCAACGGAAACGCCTCAATAGAACGATGGCAACCTTCATTGTCGCCGATCAAAGCCGGCAACGCTTCAATATCACCGCCGCTTTCACCAAACTTTTCGTACACAAGTTCGAATTTTAATGCTCGCTTGACTTCAAGTCAGAAACGTACAGCAGCTGGCGACTTCAAATCTACTTTAGATATCCCCACACCTAACAGTGCCGACGTGAATGGAGCTACGCGACGGCGTTCGAAGAGCACGGGCTCATCAGCTTATGGGAGTAGGATTGCACAGGTAATGTGTTCACATGTTCATTCAAGAATCTACAACTCATCTGTAATACCCAGTTGTCCGTCCATATCCGTACACGTCTATCATACGCAGCCGCCAAAGTAGAACAGGCCCGACAGTCGCGTGAAGCTACCCCCCAAACTGCATTCCGAACACACGACAGCGCGTCGCCATTAAGCCCGTCGGCATCAAGTGACATCGCATCACTACCGGCAGGGAGCTCCACGCCATTCTCACAAAATTCCCAAACATCATCCAATGGAAACTCCAATCATTTCTCGAGTCATAGTCGCTCGCGATCAGCATTCTTATCTAATCAATTCCTTCCAATTCCTAAGCTAGCACCACCTGCGGATATCATCTCATCAAATGGCCATAATCAGCGCCGTCGACCGAACCCTAATGCAGGCTCCAACCCTTCAAACTACAGCCCTACCTCCCGCCACCGACGCCACCATTCACACCAAGAGAACGGACTCATCCAACCACCCAACGGCCAACCAGTTCTAGGGCTAGGGACGCCCTCGCTCTCATCATCTTACACATATGCACCAATCTCCACCCCCAATGGCTTTAACAGGCACCGCCCCCACTCCCAAAACACACTCATGGAGCAAGATGCCATCGAAACCCTCATGTTCATGTCTAGCCCCGAGAATTCGGGGTACCGCTTCAGCCCTCGCCGGCTGCCACCAGCGAGCATGCAAAGCAGCCTGAACGAGTCGATCAACTCTTCAAGCGATGGAGCTCAATACTATATAATTCAGGGCTCCCAAAGTTCCGAGTCCCACCATGGTCGTGAACTCGGAAGAAAACCATGGCTGGAAGCTCATGCTGGTGATGATATTGATCGCCTTTTGGATCAAATGGACAGTGATAGCGAGGATGAGGGTCGATATGCGTCGTATGGTGGGATGAATGGTGCACATCCGTTTAGAGGGCAACAGCGCTCAAGGTAATTGCATTGTTTTGGTTTAAAATTTCGGGCTTTTGCATGATGGTGGGATTTTCCAAAATTTGCTGGCATAGCCATGCTTGGATCACAGGAAGCGAACGGTTGGTCTGACTTCAATTCATTTGCTGTAAAAAAAAAACATTAAGACCGGGCATCTATGTCGGTCTGAGATCGTTGAAAAAATGGATGTCGTTGACTCTATATGATTCTGCTCTATAGGATCCTGCTTCCCAAAATCTATGATTAAATTACTTTTGTGTCGTGTTGGTAATTTTATGCGCCGCACATCATTTAATGTGCGAGCTCCTATCATTCCATCAGTCTCGAACAGTGTACATCGAGGGAGGACATCACTTACGCTTGCGAGCTTGCTCCTGGCCCGAATCTTGGGTCCGTACAAGGCCAGCACCCAGGGGACCAGAGTCAAAACAGCACCCTGTTTTGACACAGTCAGGATTGTTTTTTTCTTGGAGAGTAATCGACAAAACTTACAAGACCTCCCAGCAGACTCGATGCCTCTGGATATCCAAGGTTGGTGAACATGGCATTCGTAACCAGTGGAAAGATACCACCGAGCAAATTCCGACCTAGCAAGCAAGATATCAGCAAAAGGACCCAATTCATTCCCAGGCCTCCATCAAAAACCCCCCCGGGGGGAAAACTTACAACAAGACTGCGCCGCAATCGCTGAACTTGCATACCGATGGTAAGTATCGGCAAGATAATTGAACGTAGCGAGGTAAATCGAAAAGATGCCCATGGTAGCACAACCTACGGCCATGGCAGGCGCGATCCAGTGCACAGATGGGAAAGAGCTCCAACCAAACCAGAACAAGCCAATGGGTAGAAGTACAGACTCCACGCAGACGAAATACAGCCTGCCCTCGGGAGAAGTGGAGTGTTTACCGAAGCGCATGGCGAGGCGTTCTTGGTAGATGCTGATGATTGTGATAATAATGACGCCGACGCACAGCGAGGTGAAGACGGCGCCTGTTTGCTCGGTTGTGAAGTTGTGGTTTGTGCGGAAGATTAGTGGGACTGAGCTGAATTGGAGGTAGAGGACTGCCCAGCTGAAGGAGACCCATAGGGAGAAGAAAAAGACTACTGGTTCGGTGAGGAGCATGTCTAGGTTGGGATGTTAGCTTACTATTGTTATGGATTTTTTGTTTGTTTTTTTCGTTCGGTGCTGCTTGAAGATTGAAGGTTGATGTCGACTTACGGAATGGCCGATACACTGAGATCTGGATCATTGCTACGATCGATGCTCGTTGCTCATCGCTCTTGACCTTCCATCTGATTCGGCGAATGCATTTTTCTTCGGACCCTTTTTCGCTCGGCAGGATGACACCGTGGTGGCCTGCGTCTTCGAGTTGCTCGTAATACCGGTTCAACTTTTCCGCTTTGCGACTGAGCAGGACGCTGCCGCGAGTTTCTTTGAAGAACAAGTAGATGATGACGACAAACACGGCGGCCACGATAGCGTGTGAGTAGAACACCCAGCGCCATGTCGTGTGGGTGATGATCGCGCCGGAGATCATCGGTGCCAGGCCAGTGCCGAACAATGCAGATCCGGAGAAGAGCGCCATGGGCGTGTTACGGTCTTGGGCGTGATAGATATCACTGATCACGCCGCCAACCATGGTGGAGAATGTTGCTATAAGGATTCACGTCAATACATCTTCAGTACGGTCGATTTTTCAAGGTTAGACATACATCCACCCACACCCTGAAAGAAACGCGCAACAAGCAATCCAGCAAAGGACTGTGTGCCTCCACAGCCAATTAAACTAGCTATTGCCATACCCAAGTCAGTATGAGCTAACTCGCATCATGCTTATTAGGCATGATATACATACCAACGAATAGAATCCCACTGGCAATAAAGATTGGCCTCCGTCCATTAATCTCGGAAAAGGGAGCCAGCACCATCGGCGCCAGAGCAAACCCACAACAGAAAATTGTGATACTCAGATTGTACACAACGGGACTGATTCCCCATTGTTTGGTTAGTTCCTCCGATGCAGGACTGACCTCACCCGCAGCATAACCCGCCAGCGCAGTTACTCCGCAGGCGATGTACGTCATCATCGACTTGCGCCATTGCGGCCACAGAAATGGAGATATGTATTTCTCTAGACTGGGCGCTTCTGGGGGTGGTGATTGAGTAGGGCCGGGAGGGAAAGTAATCCACGGAATTGGTAGTGGTGTTTCCATCTCTAAATACCGGAATTCGATCTCTGGGGACCCGTATAGAGACTCGGCCGTCTCCTCACGCTTTTCCATAGCTGTTGGTTGCGATTTAAGTGGCTCCGGCCGTGTCGATGTCGTAAATTGAGTCATGATAGGCAAGAGATTTTTATGTTTTGACACACTTGGGTTTCTAAGCTCAACATATAGGGCGTGGAATCCCCAAAAGAAAAATTGGAGTAATGCAAAGGCCGAAGGTTCACAATTTTCCCCAATTTGATCGTTCCAATCAAATCCTCTTGGGGTATGAACTACGGAGTAATGTAGATCATCATAGTTTATATACCCTGTGCATTCTATCCTCTGACATTTACACTGACCTTGACCTTCTTGGAAGTTCAGTAATCTTCGTGTCCCGAGTCATCTCACACCGCCTGAAAAGATATTGCCCTCACAAATTTTCACTTCACCAGCTCCTTCGGACAGGGGGGTTTGGATATTTCATCTCCAAAAAATAGAAAAAAAAAGAAAAAAAGAAGAAAAAAAAGAAAAAAAAAGAAAAACACCAATCCGAAAAAGAACCAGACCCCCTTCCCCCCGTTTTCGTCGCGCGACGAGAATCCACCAGGGTTCTACCTTTCAAACGGGAGTTGGTAGTTTCTCCGATTTGGGGAATTTGGAGAATTTGGAGAATTGGGGGACTGTGGAATCGTAACTGATTCGACAAAGCTCGCATTCAATAAGATCGGCAGGATGAACCAATAGTGGCAGTGAGCTACATGATCGTGGTTTTCCAATTGTGATGTAGACGGTGTAATTCCGTATGTGGACAGGGAATAGAGTACACAAGTACACAAGTACGTAAAAGTTCGGGAATAAAACCGGAGTTGTGCGACATTCCCCCGACACCAACGTCCATGTTGAATAGCAAGCCCTACCAGTGTCACCGATGCCCGAGGGCATTTGCTCGTCTAGAACATCTCCAACGACATGATCGATCACGTAAGTCTTCTAGACCTGTGGATTGAAGATCCCTCTGATTACCCCCCCCCCCCCACACAGATACCAAAGAGAAACCGTTTGCGTGCATTGAATGTTCCAAGGCCTTTACCCGCAAGTGAGATACTCCACCATTCCAGGGACAGTGCCATTTATGATATTCACAACCCTAGGGATCTACTGGGTAGACATACGCGTCTCTCTCACCCCAATGCCAGTCCAGCCAGTCAGACACCGACGCCCTCCCCCGCGAACCCTCCCATCCTAGACGTAAATTCCTTGGCATCAGGAGGCACAAACGCCCAATCTAATCCCAGTGCTTTACAAGGGCCCGATGATCATTTCCAAGCATTATCGCCGGCCGTACACCGCCCTATGCTAGGTCCGTTGGCTGGCACAGATGCTTCTGCGGGACCCACCATATCTCCTACCCCGGATTTCGGAGATGCTCTAGGTGGCTTTGGACCGGGAGATCATGGTCATGACTTTACCTCATTTTTGGATAGCGTTCCCTTGCCAAATCACCCCTTCTTGCCGGCCTATCAGCCACTCCCGCTGTTCCCACCCTGGCACTTCTCCCCGGTTACGGACTATGATCAATCATCCGATAAAGGGACTCTGACGGAGACCACTCCTTCGACTCCTTCGAGTTCGATACTTCCCCGCCATGGCGCTCAGTTACCTTCACTCCAGCCGGAGGGGTATCACATCTTCTCCAAGGCGCGCCAACCCACGGGATTCGTACCGGTCACGGCTCATTGCCGGGAGAAGTTCTTGAACATGTTAACCGACTACGCCAATGTGGTCCCGGATCCATCGTTGCCATCGCGACATGCGCTATCCCGATGTTTGACCGGCTATGTAACCGGTTACCATGAGCACTACCCTATCATGCATCTTCCGACCTTCGATGTGGACTCGATGACATTACCACTCTTCTTGTCGATGGCGACATTGGGTGCACGGTATTGCCGCGAGCCAGACACGAGTATGCGTCTCTATCAGATTGCCAAACCAGTGACTTTGGAACATGTTCACCGGGTCTTCCAGTCGGGTAAGCTGTCCCCGATCAACGTGGCCGACGACATTGATACTCTAGAAACTCTGCAAGCGTTATTGTATCTGACCTCGGTGTCGTTATGGTTTATCAACGATCCCCCATATCACGAGGGGCTGTCGCTTCGCAGTTTTATGGAAATGCTCATGCGAAAAGGGGGACTCAACCGGCTACCCGAGGAGGACGGGACATGGGATAGCTGGATACGACGGGAATGCGTAAAGCGCACCAAACTAATTGTTCTCTGTTTCTTCAGCATCCAAACCATCGTCTTCGATGTCCCACCAATGATTCTTACCGAAGATTTCACAATCGAATTACCCTCCACCGAAAAAGAATGGCAAGCCTCATGCGCCGACCTTTGGCAGGCAGAGCGCCTGAAGAGTCCCGGCGAACCAAAGTTCCAAGATGCCCTCTCCGGCCTATTCGCCTCAACCAGCAATGTCGAACGGTTCTCCTCGCTCGGCGGCTACGTTCTAATCCACGCGATCCTGCAAGACATCTGGCTCATGACGAAAGCGGGCCGACTACCCGTATCACGACGAAACCGCCTCACCCCATCATCAATGGCATCCACGCTCGAGCTCGTACACGTCGAACAAGCACTCGAACGCTGGTGCCAGTGCTGGGAGCGCAACCAAGAATCCTCGGTCGACCCACTCAGCCCAAATGGCCCGCTATCCTTCACATCAGCGGCCCTGCTTCGACTCGCCTACATCCGACTCAACGCAGACTGTGGCTCGGCACGCCAACTGCAAACCTGGGATCCCGTCCAGATCGCCACCAGTCTCCGTGACAACCTCTCCGTCCGACGTGGCGACCGTCTCACACGCGCAGCGCTGCACTGCGCACATGCCCTTAGCACACCCGTCAAGCTCGGGATTGGATTTGTTGCGCACTCACAGGTGGCGCTATGGTCGAATCAGCACGCTTTGTGCTCTCTGGAGTGTGCGGTATTGTTGGCCAAGTGGCTTGAGGCGATTACGGTGTCAGATCCGGATCCGAGACTGACGGAGCAGGAGACCCACTTGCGGGATTTCGTGCTTGAGATGGTAATGGAGGTGCAGCATGATGTCTCGAGGGAGTGGCTACTTGCTACTCATACCCGGCTCAGTGCTGCGGTTACTAGGTTATGGGCGCGACTGTTTACGGCGGACCATATATGGGAGATGGTCGCTTTGATTGGGAGGTCTTTGAACAGTTATGCGGACTTGCTGGAGCAGTAGAATGGTGTGCTGTGCTGGCACCGAGTTGTCAATGGCCTACTTCTAAGTTTAGGGCCATCTGAATGAAGTAAACATCATCTTGCTCAAGTCGGTTAGCATCGGCATTCCTCTGATTCATGGTGCGTCTGCCATCTCCCACAGGGCGCATGGACACCGTACGGACTTTGCACAGGGCTCCCCGATGACTCACTGAATATCAATTTGTCCTTGGACCTCGAAGATATTTTGCTGGACTACCCCCATTTTATCCACCCTTCTCCAATTCTTGGAGTGCCCCAAATCCCGATGCCCAATGCATAATTCTGAGTGGCTATTTCCTCAGGCCTAGTTCAGATCAGACCTTGGGTGATCCAATTATACCGTTCCTCTTCTCCTCCAAGTAGCCCAGGACATACTCCCAACCCTCCCAACCCCCCTATACCCAAATCCCACATCTCCATACCTAACAAACCAATCCAAAATGCCTCCTTCCTCCCTCGTACCATCCCCAGAAATCTTCACTCTCCTAAACGGCCTCCACACCAAATTCCTGATCCAAGAATCCACCGTGGACTGATCCACCCTTCCAGCACAATGCACCGCCGAATTTGACTCCATCATGCTGGACAAATTCATCGCCCTCGATCAAGACAAGTGCGAACTAGTCTACCACCTTCTTCGCAGCATCAACGCCTAGACAGTCGTTGAGGCCGGTACCAGCTTCGGCGTTAGCACCATCTATCTAGCGCTTGCTGTTACAGAGAATGCGAAGCGCGTTAACGCTCCCACTAAGCCGCGGGTTATCGCTACCGAGAAGGAGGAGTCGAAGGCGAAGCTAGCTCGAGCGCATTGAGCGAAAGCGGGCAGGGAAGTGATTGATCTTCCGGTTGGGGATCTGCGTGAGACTCTTCCTTCAGATGTGGGGACCATGGATTTTTTGTTGTTGGATAGCAAGTTGTGTTTCTTTCCTTGGGTTGATGCAGTAAGATGCAACCATGTATCTACACTGTGTCTATGTTGGCGTTCGATACCCTCGCTGTATCATGCCCGACTTGCATATCCGATTGATGTCTAGTGATGCTGGCAGGTTCTACACTAACCACCACCACTCCCAGTCTGGACGCCTCTCGCCCTCCCCGCGCTGAAGCTCGTCCGGCCGCACTTCCGGCCGGGCGCGGTCATCGTCGCCGATAATACGGCCATGGCAAGCGATAGGTATCAGGAGCTCTTTGCGCATGTTGATGCCGAAGGCAGTGGGTTCCGGCGGGTGACGATGCCATTATAAAGGTGGGTTGGACATGATTGTTTATCAGTAGATGTAGTCTTCGTGAACTCATCCATAGCAGTATCTGTACCCTGTCATCGCAAGGACCACTTCAGGCATGAGCTATTTCGACATATTCAGTTCGCTCTCTTTGATAGGCCCCACGGGATCCGCGGTACGAATAGAAGAGCAGCCCCTCATTCTATCAACCCTCTCCCGATCAATGCATATTTCCTCTTTATCTCCCAATTGATCCAGTCCCGCCATACCCATCCATCCATCCATCTATAACAAACATACGCAATGTCCCTTGACAGCAAATTCCACCTCCCCCAAGAAGCAGGCCTCTTCAACGCAGCCCCAAGCCTAAACCCACCCCCAACACCAGCAACAAAAGAATACAGACTAAACCACCTAGCCTTACGCATCCAAGACCCAGCCCGCTCACTGCACTTCTACATCAACCTCCTAGGCATGCGAATAATCTTCACCATGAACGCCGGCCCCTTTACGATCTACTACCTCGGACACCCGCCAGCAGATGCAAAGACCGAAGAAGATGTTGCCGCGTGGGCGAAGAGCACAAGCGAAATGCCCGTTATGACGAGGACGAGCGGACTGCTGGAGTTGTATCATGTGCATGGCACGGAGAACAGTGGTGCAGATGGTGTTGTTTGTACGGGGAATGTAGCCCCGCATCTTGGGTTTGCGCATCTGGGGTTCACGGTTCCGGATGTGGAGGCTGCTGTGCAGAGGCTGCGGGAGGGAGGGGTTAGGATTCTGAAGGATGTGGGGGTTTGTTCGAGGGAGACGGTGCCGCTTTCGGGGTGGGAGGAGGAGAGAGGGATTGGTTGTGGGGAGATTCATGGGCATTATGCTTGGTTTTTTGAGAAATTTGCAATGGTTTCTGATCCGGTGGGTTTCGATACCGGCCCTAGGTAGACAGGGTGGTTGGGTCATGGTGCTAATGCGGGTTGAATAGGATGGATATACGGTTGAGTTGATTCCTCAAAACGTGTGATGCGATGAGGATCTACGTGTACACTCTACGATTGTAGCACGATTTGTTTTAAACAGGTCGGGAATGGAACGTCCATCCCAGAAGAAGAGCTGAATGCAGCCTATACAACCAACATTTGATGGTACACCAAAGGTAACAGAATTACGCGCCCCAGCTGTCATCCTCCGCAACATCGTAGTCCATATCCCGCGCGGGAGCGGTATTGGCCACCGACGTAGACGACATGACTGTGTCTTCCGGCTCATCTTGTCCAAGGCCGCCCTTGAATTCCGTTGATGAACCAGCAGTTGGAAGTACAATGGGTGGATTGGCCATCCAGGTGAGCTGGACGTCGCCCACAGAGGGGATGTTCCAGGGGGAGAACATGAGCTTCTCGGCCTGGAAACGCTCTTTAAATGCCACAACAACGGAGTTGGGCTGGTCTGGATGTGCTTCAATGGATTCATATTCGCCAACGCCCTAGAACACAGAAGAAAATTAGTAAATGATTTGCTTGCTTGAAGAGATGCATGAAATACCATCAGGTGCTGACGCAGTGCTTCGTCCTTGTCTGAGTTAAGCTCAACGCCTGATACGGCGACTCGGCGAGGTCGGTTATCCAGACGCAACACACCTCCTCGCCCGCGAGCCGCAAACCCACCGCGCCCACGGTATCCTCCGCGGAAATTGGGGTCGTAACCACCGCGTCCACGGTATGTGCCTCGACCACGGAAGCCTCCACGACCCCGGTATCCACCGCGCCCCGAAGGGTCTGACGCCGGGTCGAGTCCAAGACTCTTTGCCTCGGCCTCGAGAGCAGCCAGCTGAGCTCGCAGCTTTTTCGTCTCATCGCTGATAGTATCATCGGCAGCGGACTCGGTGACCATAGCGTCCCCGGCACCGGTAGCATCGCTTTTGTCTGGTGTGCCTCCGAGTCGCTGCATGAGACGGGCGCGCTCTTCCTGCTGCTTCTTGGCAAGTTCCTCGCGCTGGCGCTCTAGCGCTTGCTTGGCTGCTTCGGTCTCCTGTCGCTTTTTCATCTTCTCCTCGTACGCTCTCTGTGCTTCTTGTTGTTGCTTCTCGAACTCTTCTTGGTTGAATGCTGGGGTCTCAGGCTGTGCGCTGTCAAGCTTTTCATCGCGATTCGGCTTGTACCAATAAACCTTCACGAAGCGGTTGTCGAAGATAACCTTAGGACTGGACCATGCAGCCTTGGCTTCGGGGAAAGTCTCATATTTGACCAAAGCCACCTTTTTGTAGGGTTGCAAAGAGACCTCGGTAATGTTACCGAACTCGGAGAAGAACTCGCGCACAGAATCCTCGTTGAACTTGTCGTCGGGAATTTGCTCAACGACAATAGTTGTGACAGACTGGTCTTCATTAGGTCCTGCCGATGAGAAATCTGACCGGCCGCGTCCTCGTCCGCTGAATCCGCCGCGACCACGGCCGCGGCCACGGTCACCACGCGTGGGAGCGCCACCACGTTGCGCATGCATACCCGCAGTCTTTGGGTCATATTCTGCAGCTGTTAGTGGTGTTATATCTAGGATGAATGTATTTCTCTTACCATCATCTTTCGAAACGCCTCCCTCGCCATGCTGGTAAAAGCAAGTATTTCCTAGATAACAGATACCTTGGGTATCATAGAATGGACATCGCTGGTTGCTTTGTGGAATTTGTTCGGCTCCTGGCTGACCAGGAGGACCAGGCATCCCAGGCAGAGGCATCCCCGGAATTTGCGGGAATCCCATACCTTGCATAGCCATCATTGCAGCCATAGGGTCGTTTGAATCGAACGGCGGGAAACCGGGTATCATGGGGAAGCCACCAGGCTGCTGCGGAGAGAATTGTTGGCCCTGTTGATGTGTAGGGAATTGCTGGCCCTGTTGCTGCGGGGCGAATAGTTGCCCCTGTTGCGGTGGAGGATATTGTTGACCCTGTTGCATCTGATGTCCACTGATGAAGTCGCCACGACTACCTCCGCGCCCGCCGCGTCGTGCAGTCTTCATAGCGCGATTCTGGAAACCACCATCATCGTGCTCTGGCTCCCCTTGGAACCCCTCATTAAAGGTTCGTTTGCGGTTTGCACTGCCGGGAGCGACAGCAGCTCTCGGGCCGCTGGGGGCGTTCACAGGAGGTTGTGATGAGGGAATGTGAGCAGCGGGTTGGGGCTGGCGCGCGGGTGCGGGCGGAGGAGGCGCGGGTTGTTTGGGACCGAATGTTGAAAAGAGCTCATTGACGAATGGTTGCGTGTCTAGTAAGTGTTAGCAACATGAAACAACCCGGTGCGATCGAGATATCAGACGCACGTTCGCGCAAGAAATCCTCTAGGTTTTCCACCGACACCTTCTTGATTTCCTCGGCTGGCGCATCGGACCTGACTAGCGCCAAAACGTAGTCTGCAAGGACGTCAGAGTCGGCATCAGAGCTATAGGGATAGTAATAACAATTAGTTGCTGCTTTCTTTTCCCGGGGCCGTCTGATTTTAGTGCCTGATCAACTCACATGTCCTCCAGCTTTTTGACCACCCATTTCTTTACATCCGCGGCCTCTGCATCAGTGAACTGCATGGTGAAGGTAGATTCCGAGCAACTTCAAACTGAGAGGACTGAATTCGGTCGAACAAAAGATCGACGTGAAAGTGGCGAAGATTGTAGGGATTCGGTTTCAACAAAGCTGTCACTGGGGAGGATTCCTGCGTGAGCAGTGATAATCATGTACGGAATGAAATCACAGCCTTGTGTTTTAAACAACAAAGCTAGAGAATGAGCTGTTTACGCTGGTAAGCATTCACCCCCAACCGTGAGGGAATGGAAGGACATGGCTGGGAACGCGAAGGTGAAGGCAAAAACGCGAGTACCAGAAGATCACGTGCTTAAGTGAATAATACTTTTCAACCCCTCAAGCTTCACATCGAGGATTGCGATCGTAGTCACTATTGTTTTGATCACTTTTTTGGCCTTTTTAAAATTACTGAACCTCTACGGATGAAAAACTGTGCCTAGCAGACCCAAGTTTATTGTCATGTCGAAACTGGTTGCTAGACTACAGCAAAAACGCAAAAAAATAAAACCCTCGGTAAAAAAAAAACCAAATATAGAAAAAGCAGTGAAAGGACAGAAACATTGATGCCCAAAGGCTTCAAGACTCACGCCTGGAATTCTAAAGACGGAACGATCGAAGCAAATACCGACGAATGAGGGAATAAAATTTTGTTGAACCGAAGAAATTGTATTGAATTCATCAATCTCATGAAAGATTCCACGAATGACTGGCAGAAGGGAAATTCTGGGTGACCGTGAACATTTTTACAGCTTGTCGTAGTACTGTGGAGCGAGATTAGTAACCGAGGCCAAATGGAGCGGGATAAGGAACTTACGTTTTCGTAGCCGGGAACGACCTCCTTGAGACCCTTGCGCTTGCGCATTTCCTGGACAACCTGACCGGGCTTGGAGGTGGGGTCGAGAGGAGAACCGCCGGGGAGGATGCTCCAGTGATCGAAGACGGACTGGGGGAAAGCCTGACCACCGGTAGCGGAGCGCAGATCGGCGGGGAAACCGAAAGACTCGTTGACGGGCAAGTAAGCCTTGACCATGAACAGAGGAGTACCAGGACGCTGCTCCTCGGTGTAGACGTGGCCACGACGGCGGGTGAGAACACCGTAGATTCCACCCATAGCCTGCTCGGGAACCTGGATCTCGACGTTGAAGATGGGCTCGAGGAGACCGGGGTCAGCCAACATGGCAGCGGCGTACAGAGCACGACGAGCAGTGGGGATGATCTGACCACCACCACGGTGAATAGCATCAGCGTGCAGGGTAACATCAAGGATGTTGAAGCGGACGGAGCGCATGGGCTCCTCGGCAACAGGACCCTCGCGGGTAGCCCACTGGAAACCGGAGACAACAGAGTCCTTGATTTCGTTGAGGTACTGCACGGCCTTGGTCTGGTCGATGAGCAGGTTGGCACCGGTGGTGTCGGGACCGAAGCACCAAATCTTACGGGCATCGGTGACATCCCAGCCGTACTCGTCAGCAAGAACACGGGCACGGGCCTTGAAGTCGTCACGGGGGCTGATCTTGCCAGACTCAATGGCGAGGGAGACTTCCTCCTCGATGGGCTGAGCGGTCATGTAGAGACGGTTGTGCTTGTTGGGGGACTTGGACAGGGCAGTCATGCTGGAGGTACCAGCGACGGTCTCACGGTAAGCAACGACGGGGTCGGAAATACGGAGAGGAACACCAGCGTGGTCCTCCTCGAGATCCTTGAGACAAATCTCAAGGTGGAGCTCACCAGCACCGGCAACAATGTGCTGGCCAGACTCGTTGATCATGGTCAGAACACAGGGGTCGGACTTGGAGAGACGCTTGAGACCCTCGACAAGCTTGGGCAAATCCTGGGCGTTCTTGACCTCGACGGAGCGCTGCACGACGGGGGAGACGGAGAACTTCATGACCTTCATGTTGTGGGCAGTCTCATCGGTAGTGAGGGTACCGGACTTGAGCAGGAACTGATCGACACCAACCAGACCGACAATGTTACCGGCGGGGACATCCTCAATGGGCTCAACGAAGCGACCCATCATAAGAATGGTACGCTGGATGGCCTTGATGAAGAGATCCTCCTTGCGGCCAGGGATGTAGTTGGGACCCTGGATGCGAACCTTGATACCGGACTTAACGGTACCGGAGTAGACACGACCGAAGGCGTAGAAACGACCCTTGTCGGAGGTGGGCACCATCTTGGAAACGTACAGCATCAGAGGAGCAGTGGGGTCACAGTCACGGATACCGATGCAAGCCTTATCGTCGGTGGGACCCTCGTAGAGAGTCTCGGCACGGTACTTCTGGGCAGTAACGGGGGAAGGCAGGTGGATACAGATCATCTCCAGAAGAGCATCAGCGGCAGGCAGGAACTTGCGCATGACGAGCTTGAGGAGGGC